TCGGCGACGGCAACGGCGATTGCGACCACTTCGGCGGGGCGGGCTGCGACGACGACAACTCCGATGACGATCCCGACGACTCCGGCGACGGCCCAAACATTACTCCAACGCCTCGGTCTCCAAGGGCAATGAGTTTTTCGGTAATTTCGAAAATGACTGCGACGATGACTCCGAGGGCGACGCCTTCGACGACGACAACGACTTAGACGACGCAGACGAATTCCTCCGTTGACGACGAAGACGACTCCGGCGAGTGGCCGCCGGAGTCGTTGTCGTTGTCGTTGTCGTTGTCGACGTCGTCGCCGTCGTTGTCGGAGTCGTCGCGTTCGCCAGACTCGGAGTCGGCGTCGTCTGAGTCGTCGAAGGCATTTGAGTCGTAGTCGCCCTCTTCATTAGGTTCCCTCGATTTGTCCCCATCACTGTTGCGGCATCGTCGCCGGGGTCGTTTTTGTCTGTGTCGTCGTCTTCCGAATCGGAGTCGTCTCCGTATGGGAATCAGAACCGTCGTCGTCGTCGGACTCGTAGTTGTCGTAGGAGTCGCGCGAGTAATCGGAGGGGCCACGTCGCCATCCATTGTCGCCAAAATCAATATCGTCAGAATCGCTGTCGTCCTCGTCGTTGGAACCATCGCCGAACACGACGTCGGAGGCGCAATCGCAATGAAGGCCGGATTCGTCGGCGTCGTCGTCGGGGTAGTCTGCGTCGTCAGCGGCGAAGTCGCCATCATGGTCGGAGTCGGAATCGTCCTCGGAGTTGTGATTGGAATCGTCGTTGGAATCGTTGTCGTTGCCAGTGTCAAAGTCACGACCATCGAAATCATCGTCACCATCGATAAGGAATCGTTGGTACTGCCGTCAATGTCGTCGGAGCCGGAATCGTCGGAGTCGTTTCCGTCGTCGTCGCATTCGGAGTCTTCCGCGGAGACCCGGGAGTCGTCGATGGAATCATTCGTCGTCGCCGCCGTCGGAGTCGTCGGCCCTAGGGGGGAATGGGGGCGCCCGCACGTGGGTCCGCGCTGATGCGGCACAATCCTTACGCAGATCATGCCCCATATGGAGCTCTCGCAACGGCCCCAGTGCTGACGTCTGAATGCGAGTGCATGCTGTCGTTGTCGTCGTTGTCCTCGTTGTCGACGGCGCGCATCGTAAACGTCGTCATGACAAATACTGGCTTCATCAAGGTAAAATTTGCTGCATGATCAAGGCTTGCCGAATCATGGTAGACCTGGGCCGCATCAAGGTACATCTCGTCGACGCGAAACTCGAATATATCCATGTGACGCATTGGGGTTGGTGCGCGAGGGGCAGTCATCATCCCTATGACTACAGGCGACGGCGCTATGAGGGTTGAATCCTAGGTGCCGAATGCTCGTGGGCTAGGTGCCGAATAGCGCGGTTAGAGAATGGGTGCCGAGGGAAACGCCCAATAACCGGTTTGCAGTTGAAGCCCGACCAGTCGCCGACAGACCTTCGAAGGACCGCGCGAGAGACGCACGGCACGCACGTCTGACAGTTGGAAGCACCTGCGGGACAAGTGGCGCAGGGCATCGAGGACATCGGGACGTCGCTGGGCCAACTGGTCAGCGGCTTGCCCAGCTCGCCCCCCCAATGGCCGAAGGCCCTGGCCCCTGAGCCTGGCTTGATCTGCTCTAAGAAATCCCCCGCGCGATCCCTGGCCAGGCCTGCTCGCGCCATGCCGCTGTCGCGTCGTTGAAGACGGCGCCGACGCAAGCCCGTCATTCCTGCAGTATGCAGACCATCTCGGCGCTGCGGTACTCGACCGCAACCTGGCTCTGGAAGGGCCCACAGAACGGACAGCGCCAAGACATGCCATGCTTGGCGCGTCTCTCGCGCATCTCCCCCTGATCACTCACGTCGAAGCGCCCCCCTCTGTCCTCGGTAGCGCGTGCACGAAAAGAGCGGCTGACGCGGGTTATCGAGGTAGCCTCGATCACGCACTGCAAGCAAATATCACGGATACGCCACTGCGTCGGCCAAGCTGCTCTTCGCCACGAGCAGCAAGCCTGGCCCCGGCGACGCAAACGCCCTGCCCTCGCCTGCTTCGAGCGGCGGCAGCATGGAGGGACACTTGCCGAAGACGACGTTGCAAAGCGCAGCGCCGCCCACGCGCGCGCGGCTGCTGCCCGCGAAGATGGCGCGGGCCAGCATGGGCTCGAAGTTAGCGTTGAAGCGTTCGCGCCCCAGCTGCCCCTCGGTGGCGTGTAGCGCGCGTCTTAAGATTGCACCGCGTCGCTAAATGAAACGAGCGCGCTGGCGCGGGGCGCGGATGTCCGCCTGGGCCCCATCTCTTCTCTATCTGCTCTACGAAGTACTTGTAGGTCATCCCGCCTCCGCCGCCCACGACGAAGGTCTCCATTGATCCAGCCAGCTGGATCCGTTATCTACATGCTGCCGCCAGCAAAATTGATTTGCAAATATCAGTGGTCTCCCAGCCGTTGCGCCGCAAGGGCGCTTTGCCGATCAGACGCAGTCGGATGCGCCGCTGGCGGCAAAGGGACGTCGCATTCAACGCGCGGGAAACATCGTGCTGAGACGGGCGCAGCGTGAGAATGGTCAGGCACGCTGGTAGTAGCCGCATGCGGCATTCCCGAGAGTTGTTGACCACTGTGGCGATGAGGTCAAGGATTGCCTGCGATATGTCGGCTGCCCGCAGTGCTCGCGCCGTTTCCTCGTGACGCGCCGCCGCCGGAGATGCAGCTAGCGGAGCTCTCGCGTTCGCGCCGGACCCGTGGATTGGGGCCGAGCCCCAATCCGCCGGTCCGACGCCTGCCGCCTTTGCCTGCCCCGAAGCCGGCGAGATCGCGCGGAAGGCAGTGTCGGGCGCGTCGACCAGTTGGGCGCGGTCGGCTTTCCCGCGCCCTGGCCCTTGCGTTTGGCGCGCCTCCGCGCGCGGCGCGCGGGCAGATCGTTGTCGACGCGGCGCCGTCGGGGCCCGGCGCGCCCGCGGGCCCGTGAGAGGCGCGCGCCGCGCTGTTCCACGGGAGCTTCGCGCTGTTCGGGGGCGTCGGCAGCGATTGCTTCGCCGAGTGAACTGGCGGCGTCGGCGTCGGCGCCAGTCTGCTGGATATGCTGCCCGCAGTGCGGCCGCGCCTGCGCGGGCGACATCTGGCGCCGCAGGCGGGCTCGGCGCCGCGCCAAGGGCCGAATGGCCACTTTCATCCCAGCTCGATCCGGTCCCAGCGCAGCAACCACACTGATCTGGATCGCGCGCGGGCGCGCCCGCGAATAACGCTTGGCGCTGAAGCGGATGCACGGCCGGGGCGAGATTCCCCGGCGAGCCTTCGATCATATGACACACGCTGCGTAGCTGGCCCATCATGCGCGCCAGCTGCGGCGCGCCCGCAGGGCAGGCCACGATGCAGCGCTGCAGGGGCATGGCGACCTGGATGTTCTACGTGCCCACCGCGCGCAGAAAGAAGTACCTCGGGCCCACGTAGCCGATCGCGAACTGACTGGCACCATGCGCCCTCTTGCCGAGGATGCCGAAACTGGCGGGGAGATTCTCGACCCGCCCGCGCGGCATTCGGTTGAAGATCATCAGAGCCGATGCCGACTGCGTGGTCTCCTCCTCTCCAAGCTGGCCCCACCGTTCGGCCAGGTTGTGCGCGGAGTGGGTCATGGGCGGCACTGGGTTGACGTCGGTACGACCACCTTGCATGAGGGCAACCAGCGGCCACTCGTCCACGCTCTCGTGCGCCATGCTGGTCAAACGAGACCAGTCGCAGGCAGTCTGGCGAAACTCGTTGAGAACGGAGATCGCCACTGACCGAATCACCACCTCCATCGGCCAGCGTCGGGAGGGCACGCGAGCTTGCAACTGGGGCCCTCATGCGCAGAGCTGTCGCATGTTGCCGCAGAAACCGCCACCTGCGCCCACGCAGGCGATGCAACTGATGGCGGCGACCACGCCCGCTCCGAGGACCTTCCATCCGAAATGGGGCCCTCCAGGTGTCGGGGAGGCGCGACAGCCCTAGTGCCCACCAGCGGCGGTTTTCAGGTAGTGATCCTCGGGGCCATCGTGGGCGTCTGTCTCTGGTGTGTTCGCTCCTCCCCTATCAGCCCATCGGGTCTTCACTTCCGTCGTGCGACTGGAGTGCGGGCTGCGCCCAGGGCAAATGAAATGTACGCAGTTCGTATTGTCACTGCACTGATCCAGGTCTGCCCAGAAGCAGGGAAAGCGCAGGCAATGTTGAAGGGCATGTCCCGCAGAACCGATAGCGAGCAGTCCCAAGCTCATGCAAAGGCCCCGCGGAAGGATGGCAACACAGTTGCCCGAACCACCTTTCAATTCCCACTCCTGCCTGCATGCACCAGCGCCGAATTCCACAACATAGTTGCGTCGGACTCGAGGCGCTCCGCCGACGCCGACGATGTAAGCGTCGGATTGAACGACAGTTTGACAAAGCCGGCTACACCCAAACGCGGATGCAACGATGGCGATGCGTCATTGCCCTCTCCACCCTCGGGCTTCCGCAACACAATTGCGCGTAGCTTATGGCGGCTTGCCTGACAGGCCCCGTCGGCCCTTCGAGGCACGGCGTCTGCCGGGGCGAAGAAGATTATCGACACGATGGTGAGGCGGATGCTTGTGTTCCACATGATTAGCTGAAGAGGAGGTCAACGTTGTAGCCGATGCAGAAGGAACGCCACGGGCGCGAGGCATCGCCGCGCGGGCCATGGCGGCTGTCTTGGTCGAGCAAGGCACTCCCCTACGGGAGAAAATGTACATGTAAAACGGTGGATGGGAAACAAATCAATATTTTTGTAGCGCGGATGTGCAGCAAAGTGTAAAGCATGGATTATAGCGGGCGCGGGAAACATAATCCCTGCAAATGGCAGGGGGCCCAGCGCAACCCTGCATTCCTCACAAGTGCAATGCTACACACGCCTCTGCCTGGCAATCTACCGCTCGAATCCGACGACGACGAAAACGAGAAAAAGGCAGAGGAGGAGGACGACGACGACGATGGAAGCGGGCACCGAACGTCTGAGCGGCGGTGGCTAACGTCTTCAGGTGGTGCGCCAGCTCCTCCAGCTCCCTCAGCGAGGAGGCCTGAGAGGTAATGTGTCCCACCAACCCTTCCCTGTCGTCCTTATCGTCTCCGAGAGACCGCTCCCCGCTCCCCAGACATCCCGCGGATTGATGCACTTTATCCCGGCGTTTTCCGTTGGTGTCGGCCCCCGTGGGCCGTTCTTGGACGGTGGCAGGGTCATGCTTTTTTGGACGGAGCACAGGAGGAGATCAGCCCGTAAATCCTGGAGTTAGACGAGGACGAACTCGAAAGCACAGCTGCGGCGACACTTCCTGCTTACCCTACCAAGTCAACGCCGAGCGCAATACAAATCTTTCGGCAAAACTGCGCCTGTCACGGTTTCCGCCTGCGGGTCGTTCAGGCCAAACGGAAAAAAAAAAACTGTTTTCCCCAGTGCAATCTTGTCGGGAGAAGAAGAAGGAGCATGAGGGAGGGGACGACCGCAAAATTCCTCGAGGGGCCCGTGCACTCCGCGGCGATGCGCAGAAAAGAGACTGGCGGGCGGCAGGAACTACAGCAAAGCATCCCAGAGGTGGAAAAGGCACTGGCGAGAAGAGAAGCAGGGAGGAGGACGAGGAAGGAGGAAGGAGGAGAGGCGAGACTGGACAAACGCATTGGGGCCACACCCCGGCCGGCTTCCTGCCCTGAAGGATCTCGCAGTGGGAGCCGATCGCCGCCCCGAACGCAGCAGTAACAAAAGATGCGATCGCTCCGGACTCGGGCTGGAGGGGAGGGGGGAGAGAGGAGGGAGGAAGGGAGAGGAGAGAATGAGAGAAGGGAAGAGGAGGGAGAAAAGGAAAGAAGGAGAGAAGGAGAGAAGGAGAGAAGAGGAAGAGGAGGGAGGAAGGGAAGAGGAGGGAGAGAAGGAGAAGGGGCATGAGGGCTGCGGAACTGCGCTCAGAATCCGAACTCAAGAATGCCATCGTCTCCGACGGGAGCATCGTCGACCCTGGAGCGAAAAGGTCGAACCCTGCGAGATGGCTCCGGCCACGACGCCAGTCACAACTGAACACAATAACCGTTGAGATAACTGAGATCAGCTGACTTACCGCGTCAAGCAAGCGACCTGGAGAGGAAGAGGAGGAAGAAGAAAGACTGCACGCACCCACGGAAGGCTCCCGGGCAGGAGGGCCCAAGCCCGCATCGACCACCTCGGCCTGTTCCGCTGCACCGGCGTCAGCGCTCTGGCGGGCCCCTGCGGGAAAAGATGGGTGCATCCGCGCACCAGCGATGCCGAGCCCGCATTTCCCGCAGGAGCGGAACTAGCACGGCGTGACCACCGCCGCAGGGCTGCGCGGGCACCTCTGGGCCGCCGAGCCTCCCGCTCCCAGGGCGCGCAGCGCCGACGCCCAACCTCCGCGGCCACACCCTGGGGCCCCGCGTGGCCGAATTCGGGAAAAGGGGGGGGGAGAGGACGAGACAGTTTTTTTGACAGGCGCCCTGAACCCGAGCCAGCTCGGGTTGAATTGGGAAAAAAACTCGGACTAGTTTACCCGCCTGGTGCAGGGTCAGTCCGAGCTTCCGGAAAGGGAGTGCTGGTCTGGAGCGTGCTCGCCCTCCTCCCGAAGCGACCTGCGGACCTGAGCCAACATGTCGGACTCAGCCCGATCACCTGGATCAGATTCGCTCGCTTCAGCAGCAGGGTCGAACACTTCGCACGTCACTCCAGCCAGCTTGGGATGTCTACCCCTCCGCAGCGCCCTCAAGACCGAGGACGCGTACTTAGACTTCCTGGGCCCTTCAGGCTCGGGAATACACGACTTTCGAAGCTTCCTGAATTGACCGCCGCAGCTGTACCCGCAGCAGAGATGGCAAAAATACAACATACTTTGATTCGAACACTGGAGGGCCGTGATGGCGTGGCCCTTATCACGTATGGAAAGGGCCACGTCAGGGAGCTGGCCCGAGCACCCTGAAAAACCGGTTTTTTTTCAGACTGGCGGCGACATCGGAGACATGTGACGCAGCGCCAGAAGGTGGCACACCACACCCACTCATGATGATACTGCTCCACAGGGGGGGGGGCGGCGGCTCCACCTCGCGGGCTGGGGCGGTAAAATCCACTCCGTCTAAATTAAGTCTCGGCCAAGACGGAAGAAGACGGGCTGCCAGCAGGCCGACATTCTTGGCAACTTTGAGTTGCCAGTCTACAAAATCAAGTTCAGCGTTAGAGCCCTTGGCGTGCATGTCCACTCCTCGCTTGGCCGCTCTATCGGCCTCATCGTTACCAAGTTTGAAATGCCGCTGGTCGGCCGTTAAATCTGGGGAATCCGCTACGTGAGCCTTCACCTTGTGAAGGTTGTTCAATCTAGTCTGAAGCGTATTAATCATCAGCCCTGCACGAGGCCGCTTGTAGGAGAGACGCTTGGGTCGCTCCAAGAGAAACGCTTTGCAAACATTAAGGCAGTCGCTGAAGCCCTCTGAGGGCCCCATGAGACACAGAGAACCGCATGCCAGGCTACTGTACTCCGCCGCTTGGGAGGTCTGGGGGAACCTGTTCCAAAGGGGGGCCCACGTGACACACTGCAAGTTCCTATGCTTATCATAAACAGCCAAGCCCCACCCTGCCCTGCATAATGTCTTAATTACGTGATTCCTACATGACCCGTCGAAGAACACGCCCCCAGACAATAGTTGCTCATCAGATTCATCGTGCTGAGGAGCTTCCCAATGGACCATAGGGGGGCCTTCCTTGGAGGGCGTCGGGAGGTGCTCGCAGGGATGGGTGAAGATACCTTTCGTGAACAACACGAACTTGTCATTCGAGACGGCGGCTAAGTCCACCTCGGAACTCGCCTGCAACACTTCGGGATCACGAAGCTCCTTCCTGAGATAGTCGACCGCAGGACACACCCATAACCTGTGCCACATTGAGTCTGAAGGGCCGCAACACAGAGAACAGCGAACCTCAGGGATTTGATATCCGAGGGACACGGCTTTCTCCTGGGTCCAACAGGCCCCGCAGGCATTGGCACGGATGCATCCCTTCTCGAAATAGGAGTATTTCGAGCTGCGCAAGTCTCTGATCACAGCGTCGTAACATGCGCGGCCTTGAAGACCGAGCTCCTGGCCTGAAATTCGACAAAGCATCCTGGCCACTCCTTCGTGCAGCAACTGCTTGATAAGCTGAAGGGAATTGATGGTCAGGGAATACTCGACACCAAGATCGTTCTTCAGCTGCGCAAAAGACGACATGGACCAGCCTATACGGCTGAGCGAAAGAAACATGGCGCCCATCGGGCCGCGTACTCTGCGCCACGAGCTTGGCGGGCTAGCCCAGACATCTTCCCAGGCTGCCCGAAGCTCACGAAATCCTAAAGCGAACGGAGTCTGCTGCACCTGGGCGCCCCAAATCTCTCTGGAGTACCTAGCGATAGGCGCGATAGAAGCGTGGTAAGTCGGGTCGCTCTCGAGAATACACAGAGACGTTAGGGGCCTCGACCCCGCCGATGGTTTGACAGCCTCGCCGAAACCCGTCCGCGAGAGCCCCATTTCATGATCAGACGCCCCAAAGACAGCCGCCCCATACGTCACCGAATCCACTGGTCCAGCAACGAATATTTTACGGGAATGACGTCCAACCGCCTGCCGACATGTGAAAGCTGTCTTGACTCTCTGTCGAAAAACCCGAAAACGAGCAGCAGCTTTGCGACCCCGTCCTCTGGCGCGACGCGCCTGACCAGCGCCGTCGTCGATACCAATGTTAATGGCAGCGTGGCAATCACCAGAAGGCCCTCCGTACCTCCCCAAGAAAGACTTGACTGCCTGTCCGACCCATTTGACGGAGGAGACCACTGCTGCCTTCTCATCAGAAATCTGCGACTCCATGTCCTCTTCGAAGGCAATGAGCAACTCAGTCGAGGCCAGCTTCAGCGAAGACACTACAAACTTCCCAGACCCACTGCGAAATATACCGTAGTCGTCTATGTAGATGTCGAGCTGAACCTGGTAGGGGAGCCTCACGAGGTCCATCGTGGGGATAACATAGGCCCTAATGTACGTAGTAGCGAAACTGCAACCGGCAACAATTCCGTGCTCACTGAAGTGCGGGCCGCGCAAAAGGCTCCCAAGAGATATCAATCGAGCTCCCCCGTAGGCCTTGATCGAGACCCTGTAGATCTGCTTGGGAAACCCTTGTGCCTCACACCGTGCAGCGAGCTTAGGAAGCCGAATCGATTCGTAGAACATGTAAAGGTCCCAGAGGATCTTAGCTACCGCCTTGCCTTTCCCCACAGACCGTTCGTTTCTGACGGCTTGCTTGTAGACTACGTCGAGCGCTGAATCGAAGGAACCCGCTGCAAGGTAGGTCCGCTGATGATCGGCTTCCCATCGCTCGGCGTAGGGGCGGCGAACTCTCGCCCACAATCTGTAATATGCAGAAAAAAGGCCTATCGGCCGATATCCTCCTGCTGGCTTGGCAAGGAGGAGAGTGACCAATACCTGCGTCTGGTGGGCCATGAGCCCCGCGCACTCCATCATGTAGTAGAGCGTGCATAAAACTGACAGGAGGCCTGGTCGCAACATCAAAAAATGGCGCATGTGGAAGCCATCTACACTTGTGGCTGCACCTACTGCGTAGGACTTACTCACAGCAATCAGGTCGTCTGGCGTGAGGGGACTTAGGCCTTCCAAGTATTCGATGGGTTCCTTGCTTGCCTCAGGAGGGTGGGACTTCGAGTTCCAAAGCTCACCGAACCTAGTCCCCTCAGCCTGCAGTAGCGACGAAGGATCCGAGAGGACGAGCCCTTCGGCCGAGAGCGCGGTGGTCGCCACCCACGGCTTCAATTCTTTAGTCCATCGATGGGCATTACGACCTCCCTTGTCGATGCCGTCTAGAAGCCAGCTACGCCACGCCTTCAACGACCGCTGCGAGGATGCCCTAGCATACTCATCTAATCTGGGTACAAGAAGAGCTTGACATTCAAGAAGACCTCCCGAATCAGCATAAACACCCTCGAACCCCAAGACCAGATCTGAACGCTCGCGATATACCTCCAGGAAGTCCCCCAAAGATGTGAAAATCTCTTGAGGCGCCTCCAGGCTGTGATGTTTATATTTGTAGAAAGTGACAACGTCGCCGTCGGCCATGGCACCCAGGAGAAACCGAATGGAGCGAGACAACCATCTGCCTGCGAACAGCATGGGGCCCATGTAAGAGGCCTTGGAGTCCCTGCCGGGCGCGGAGACCCAGGCCAGACGAGGCCGTCTGCCCCTAGTACCCCAAATAGGCAGGTCCGCCTGGAGGACCTGAGACAATTCCCACTCGGCGGTATCAGCCCAGAGACGATACAGCGTGTCGAGGCGCCGCTGCACTTGGCCTCTGGGGGGCCGTCCGAGCAACAAGATCCATACCATAGTTGGCGCAATCTAAGACCTCCGAGAGGTCTGCAGGATGAGGCTGAGGGCCGACTGGCCGCTCTGCCGGAAGCTTCGGGGGCGTCAGGAACTGGAGGGCCTTGAGCTCAGCCAACTGCGGGTGGAAGAGGCTGCGCACGGGGGCGTGCGTCTTGATATCGGTGCCGAGCACCGTCTCGACAGACTGCAAGCATCGGCTGAGGCCTGCAGACAAGATGAAGGAATCTAACGTACGAACTCCTCCCGTGCTGGCACTGCCGAATCGGCCACAACTTCAGGCGTCATGTTGCAATCACCTCCGGTACAATGTGGACCAGCAAAGTCGCTGTGCCGAGATCCAACTGCTGCTAGGGTTGTGAGGTTCCTGTCAGAGAGGTCCTCACTGTCATGTAGATATCGGGCCGTGAACAAAGTTTGAGGAGCTCCAGGGACCGAAACAATACCGCTCAGGGCTCTGTGGGGGACGACGACAGCCTCAAAATCGGGATCGTGGAATCCAAGATACTGTCGAACCAAAATCGCCACCCCTCCAGAGGAACCCCCCTCGCTGGTTCGTAACGCTGGAGCGAATCTAGCTTTCCATCCCCTCTTCAGTGCCCACTGTCCCGCCTTCGCGATGTCGTCAGCACTAACCAAACGATGTTCCTGAACCAGGAGTACGTGCTAAGTCGAGGATTCGACCCAGGACTCAATCGATGACCACGCCGTACAATTGATCGTCTCGACTGCTAATTGAAACGCGCAGGCAGGGCAAGGGGGCACTGATAAAAACTTAGAAGGGTCAGATGGAAGAGCTCCTTCAGCAGGGAGCCTAAAAAATTTGCTGGCCAGCTTGCTGGCCGACGAGAGGTGATGGCTGTCGGAACTCCTCGAAGCCCGTTCAGCCGATGTCGCCGACGAGGGAGCCCTCGCCGATGAACTTCCTGACATAGTACTCCCGAGAAACGAATCGGGCGCCGGTGGGGGTGAGGACGTGGCCGATGGACCACTTGGAATATCGGATGAACCGTGAACGTGAAGGCCCCCCTGCCGCCTACGCGACGACAGGGGGGACTGCCTGCTGAGGTAGTGGGTCCAAGAGCTTGTCTGCAGACTCCAAGAGCGCCGTGGCCGACGAGGTCGATGACCCATGGCCCACACTGCTACTCTCCTTTGCTGCCGTGCCCTCAGGTGCCGCTCCACCAGCTCCGTCATTAGATACTGCTCCACCGCCAGCTCGTGCTTCAGTGGCACCACTTGTAGCTTCACCTTCGTTGTTCTTGCGCTTCTTGCCGAGACGGAGGACGTGGGCCTTGTGCGCGCTCTTGAGCTATTCGAACTTTTGCGAAGCCTGGCCGAAGAGGTCCTTGGCCGCATTGGAGATCTGTTCACGTAGCTGCTGAGATCTGGCTGCGAGCTCCTCTCGATCTGAATCTTGAATCTCGTAGACGTCGCCATCGACCCCGAACGCGCTCTCGACGCTGGAGAGGTCGAGGAACTCCCCACTGCCGCTGAGCAACTCCTGCAGCGTGACCTGGGTCTTCTGCTGGATCGGAGTTGGCGAACATACTTGGCTGGATAATGGTTCAAACCAAGCCTTTATATTTAGCAATCTCATCCCGAAGCTCAACTCTGGTCTTGGCAATGGACTCCTTTTTGGCATCGAGCCAATCCTTCCAACGCTCATACTGACCCAAATCGGCATTGAGCTTCTTCTCGAGCTGTTTGATGTGACGGTCGACCGTGGTAGCCTGCGTCTGGAGTGGGATGGGCTCCACTGCGGTCCGACGCTGATCAAGACGAAGTTGGTATGCCGTAGCCAAACTTTGATTGCCCATCTTCTTGTTGAGTTCGATGAGCTGCTGGATCTCACCGTCCGACAGAGCTTCCAGGTTCCCAATGATGGCTGGTGGGGGCCCGCGTCCCTGAAGCCCCACGGGCGCGGGGTCGGCAGGTCCTCCACCTTGGGGCCGCTCCCAGTCGGTCCACAGATCTCCAGCGTCTCCCTGAAGTAGTGCGACGTCACAATCTTTCTTTTTGCCACCGCATTGTTTGCAGTACCAGAATCTCCCCAAGTTCTTGGCGCAGCCACAGCGCCCACACATCCAAGGAGAATCATGATCGCCACGATGGCCATACCAGCCTGCCCAGCCGCCGCCCTTGCGACGCGAAGGAGGCATGGCGAGAGAAATAATCTGATTGCGATTGCCTCTGGTTCGGCGGTCTCCCTCGGGAGACGTGACCTCAAGCACCTCGAGATGGTACAGAGGCAGGCTCAAAAAAGGCTTGAGCCCCAATTGCTTGAGTAGAGGACGAGACAGGCAGAGGAAGGAGGGGGAGGGGGGAGGATCCGGATGGGAGGGGAAAGAGAGGACGAGACAGGCAGAGGAAGGAGGGGGAGGGGGGAGGAGGAAGAGACGAGACAAGGAACTCTCGGATCCGTAGAATTGCAACGCTCTTGGGTCAAAACCGTCGTCTGTCACGGTGTGTGCCGGCGGGTCGCTCTGGCCAGGCGCGAAAGACGGCTACATTTCTGTTGACCCGATCTTGCGCTGCCCCGGAGGCGAGGGAAGAGGAGGATGAGAAGGAGGAGAAGGAAGAGGAGGAGGATCAGGAGGAACGATCATGAGCGAGGGGGAGAGGGAGAGAAAGAGAGAGAGAGAGAGAGCAACTCAACCTGCGTCTAGTATGTCTCCCCTGACCCAGATGGCCAGTGATACGAAACACAGCTCGCGTACTCCATGAGTGGCAGGTCCAGGTATAGACCGTAGATGTCAGAATTCGGGCGCAGCGGCAGTGCGTGCCCTCCGAACAACGATTCATGCCCAAAGCAGAGTGGCCAAATCAAGGATACGGCGTCCAGTGTCACAGACTGCGGGACAATCAAACATGAGTATGATGCGAAAAACGGCCCCCAGGGCAGAGGTCGAGACCTGTGGGGTCGAGGTCCGAAGAGCTCGCATCTTCGGAGGCCCGTGCCATCCGTCTCCTCGCTGGCGTCGGCGCCGCCGTCCTCGCAAGAGGGCGGTCCGCCCTGAAGAGGTCCTCGTGCTGCGAGCTTGGCGGTCGAGGATCGCATGCCGAGGACCCTGGCAGGTGCCGTGCTCTCCGCGGCGTCCCGGGAGGCATCTGCCTCCAGGGGCCCGCGAACCCCTCCACTGTCAGGACCCACAGCGGCACAGGGCTCCCCAGACTCAGAGCGGTGATGATGCTGACCACCTCCCTTGCCCCCCTTCCTCCCCTTCGAGGCCCTCCTGCCCCCCATTCCCTTCCTCCCCTTCCTCCCCCCTTCCTCCCCCCACCTCCCCCATTCCACCTCCCCTTCCTCCCCTTCCTCCCATTCCTCATCATCTTGCCCCCCCCTTCCTGTCCTTGGTCCTCCTGGGAGGTGCGACAACCTCCCTCTCGGATGTCATCTCTTCCGCAAATGGCCCCTGACCGCGGCCGCGGCGTCCGAAGGGCCGCTCCGCTCCCACGGCCACCCCAGGCTTCCGTCCAGGACATGGGCGACAGAACCGATGGCGGAGGAGGAACAAAGGACGGAGGAGGCGGAGAAGGACGGGGAGGGATGTGGAAGAACAAGCGGCGGGAAAGGGGGCAAGATGAGGAGGAGGAGGAGGAGGAGGAGGAGGAGGAGGAGGAGCTGGGCGAGCAGGAGGAGCGCGAGAGGAACGTGAGAGCAGGAGGAGCTCGTCAACATCCCCAAGAACTGTCTGGACAAGGACGGCGAAGAATATAGAGGGTGATTTTGGGGAGACGAAAGGGTCTCTGTCAGGGTGCCCTGTCGGCCTGGATTCGCGATACCCTTGGTGGCGCATGGGGAGCGGATCGCTGTTGCGCTACATCGCGCCGAATCACCACGCTGGTATCCGACGACTCGGTCTGCTTCGAGTCGCCGACCGCAGCGTGCCCAACAGGGAGCTCCACGTACGGCACTCGTGGGCGCGACCTCACGCGGACCCGCGCCCAGTTTTGCCTCTCCCCCAAACAACGAGCGGTGGCCTTTGCGGACAGGGGAAACTGCCTCGCGAACGTGCAGCCTCGCCGAACGCCAAGGCGAGGCCCTGCTTAAGGGCCCACTGCGGCGCGGAGAAGCTGCCGAGCTGGGCCTCGAGCCGCTCGCGTTCCGTGGCGGCTCAAGCCACTGGCTGCCCCCGCGCCAGAGCTCAGGGCGGCTTCCGCCGCGCACGCCGCGGCCGCGGGTGCCGCGACGGGCTAGCGCGGGCGCGCCCTCCTATTGGCTCCTATTGGCTCCGCTGCCGTCTGTTACCGCTGAGCGAGAAGGCGGCCCTAGAACAGCTTCAAAAGGCAAAAGTCAAGGAGCATCAGATAGGCTCAGGGATGGGCGGCCGACCATCCTGCCTGCGAGCTCCACTTGAGCGGCATCGATCCGCCAAAGCTCGCTCCCAAGATTGGGTTAACCCCGCCTCAAAGCAGGCGCGAACTGTTTGCTGCGTCATCTTCTTCCTCCTCCTCCACCTCATCCACCTCCTCCTCCTCCTCCATGGGCCTCCGTTGCTGCCGCTACCCAACCGCCGCCACCCTTCGGGCCCCAAAACCGTGTGGTGAAGGACAGCGTAGTAACCTCGGAACCCCCCACGGCCTCAACCCGCGGTGCGTCACCGCACAGTCTCGGGACCTCGGAAACCCCAGTCGCACGAGACGCTCTCGGAGAACGACCCGAGCCGTACGAGCCGCGCGGTGGCCACCGCCGCCTCGGCGGCGGAGGCCGCTGCAGCGGAGGTTGCTGCCGCGGAGGCCCGCGCCACCGCAGGGCCGCCGCCAGCCGCCGCGGGCGCAGGAGGCCCACGGCTCGCTCCGCGGAGCGCGGCCGAGGAGCGGCCAGCTTGGCAGGGACCGACCGCCCCGGCATCCCTAACAGTCCTACCACGAAAAGCTCTTAGAGCCCAAGAGCGCTCTGATAGCAACAACAAAAGGTTCTCAGAACATGCGTCAGCCCGATGCCATCGAGCAAGACAGGCTCCGCCAGAAGTGTGCCGAGAGCATTCCGTGGAGACCACAAAAGAGGTTCTGAGAACATGGTTTGGTAGGGCTATTAGGCGAGCCAGGACGCTTCGCCACTGCTTGAACCAGGCAGAAGCGGGCCCGACGCACGATGGCAGGGCTACCGTGCGCGGTGGCTCTCGCGGGCCGCCAGGGCGGCACGCTGCAGGTGAAGGGAGGGCGCTCACGCGCGACCTCACGCGGGCAACTTGCGCGCGGATATCCAAACCCGTTTCGCCTGCGTCGCTCAGATGAGGCCGGGCGGGCCACGGTTGACAGCGTGCGCCCCGGCCAAAATACCGCGACGTCGCACGCCGCCGGAGTTACCACAGGCGAGAGCCGCGCGATCGTCCGAGCCCACATTGGAGGAGAAGGAAGAGGAAGGACGAGGGGGCAGGCCACCAGAGAGCGTCCGTGGCCCAACACGCCCCGGCTCCTGTTCAGTGCTGGCGGCAGCCTCGGCCATCCACAGCAGCACCACAGGGAGGAGGGCCAAAAGGGAGGGCGGGGACCTGGAGGAGGAGAGGAGAGGGAGGGAGGGAGGGAGGAAGGCCAAAAGGGAGGGAGGGAGGAGAGGAGCGGAGAGGAAGGCCTAAGGGAGGCGGGGACCTGGAGGGAGGACCGGGAGAGAGGGGCGGGAGGGAGGGTGGCGCCCGCCGCGCGGCCCCGCCTCCGGCAGCGGCACTGCGGCGGGCCGTGGGGTCGACAGCCGTCCCTGCACTTCGGCCTGCGCTGGCGGCGGGGGGGCATCCCTCGTCCTGCGCCCAGGGGGAGGGGAGGATAACAGGCTAGGTGCGCTCGCGCCATATCGGACCTCCTACCCCTGCCACCCATCCCTTCCCATTGCGCTGCTTTTCTACACATGTTTCGTGGAGTTCTGTTATTTCACCTCCCGCGTCCTATCCTCCTCCCCTTTCCTCCTTCTCCTTCTCCTCCTCCTCCTCCTCCTCCTCCTCCTCCTCGTCATCGTCATCGTCATCATTATCATCATCATCATCATCATCATCATCATCATCATCATCATCATCATCATCATCATCATCATCATCATCATCATCATCATCATCATCATCAGCAGTGCACTCCGCCGGCGTCGCATCTGCGTCTCATTCCAGACGCACACAACGCATGCGCGGCATTGACATGAGACACGCGGCCAAATACAGCCGTGCACGCAACACACATACACACTGCACACCTACAACCCATATGCAAAGAGGACACATACCTGGCATTGACATGACGCACATGGCCACGCCCAGACGCACACACAGCATGCACATACACAAGGACACACACTCGCAGACCGAGTCACCCACATGACACGCACATTACACAGCACATACGCGTAGGATTCGCGGGGCACGGCATGCGTGGCATTTTCTCGACACCAGACAGGGTGCGCACGGGGTGGTCCCTGAGCGCGGTCTCTGTGCGGTCCAGTCCAGGGTCGGAAAGCGTGGCAAGCGTGACCCTGTCTCGACACAAGAGAGGTTGCGCAAGGGGTAGTCCCTCAGAGCTGGCTCTATGCGCGCCAGAGTTGGAAAGCGTGGCACGCGTTTCACTTCCTCGTCACCAGAGGGGGTGTGCGTGGGGTGGTCCATCAGCGCGGTCTCCATGCGTGCCAGGGTCGGGAAGCGTGGCAGGCGTGGCACTGTCTCGACACCAGAGAGTCTGCGCAAGGGGTGGTCCCTCTGCGAAGCCTCTGTGCGCGCCAGTGTTGGAAAGCGCGGCACGTGGCACTTTGTCGACACCGGAAGGGGTGCGCAGGGGGGTGGTCCCTCGGCGCGGTCGCTATGCGTGCCAGGGTCGTGAAGCGGGGCAGGCGTGGCACTGTCTCGACACCAGACGGGGTGCGCACGAGGTGGTCCCTAATCGCGGCCACTGTGTGTGCCAGGGCCAGAAACTGTGGCAGTCGTTGCACTTTCTCGACGCCAGAGGGGGTGCGCAAGGGGTGGTCCCTCAGCGCGGCCACTGTGCGCGCCAGGGCCGGAAAACGTAGCATGCGCGGCATCCCGAACTGTAGACGCCTTGGCCCAAACTGGCTCGAATGCTGCGGGGTGGTCCCTGAGCCCGGTGTCTATTCACGACACTGTCGCGATGCCTAGCAGCCGTGACAGATTCTCGACGCCAGAGGGGGCGTGCAGAGGGTGGTCCCTGAGCGCGGTGTCGATCCACGACACTGTCGCAGAGCCTAGTCAGCGTGGCACTTTCTCGGCGCCGGGGGGGGTGCGCAAGGGTTGTCACTGAGCGCGGTGTCTATTCACGCCACTGTCGCGATGCCGAGCAGGCGTGGCACTTTCTCGACGCCACAAAGGGTTGCGCAGAGGGTGGTCCCTGAGCGCGGTCTCTATCCACGACACTGTCGCGATGCCTAGCAGGCGTGGTACTTTCTCGACGCAAGAGGGGGCGCGCAGGGGGCGTTCACACTGATTGTACCAAAATCAAGCTATAGCGTACATGCGAAGTGATGGCCACAGCGTTCAACAAAGTATATGTTTTTTTTCGGTAGCGTAATGATCCGCCGACGCGTGTCATGGCGAAGCTGGAGCTCCAAAGAGGACCCCAACAATCGGAAAATGGGGAGCTGCGTGCACTGGAGGAGAAGGTTGTGAATGAGCAGGAGGATAAACAGAAGGAAACGGACGAGGAGAAAAGGAGGAGGAGGAGGACGATGACGAACAGACAGCAGCAGCAGGAGCTGGAGTAGAAGGAGCGGGTGAAGAGGAGGAGGAGGAGGAGGAAGAGGAGGACGAGGAGGAGGAGGAGGAGGAGGAGGAGGAACAAGCACAAGCAACAACATGATTTCTCGGAGGTCCTCTCCTCTTGCTCCCTGCCTGCTGTCTCCGCCTGGCCCCTTTTCCGCCTGCCCGCCCGCCCCGCTGGCCCTGGCCTCCCCGCCTGCGCGCTCGTCGCCGCCTGCCTGCTGCTCCCCTCCCCTTCCCGCTCCGCCGGGCAGCACAGCCTGCCGTGGACTGGCGAGGCGTCGCGAAGGGCCCTGCTCTTGAAGGCGGCCGAGCGGGAGAGGGGGTGGTGCCAGAACGTCGCGCTGGAGCTGTTCGAACTCTCGGCGTCCGGGGGCCCGCTTGGGGCCCCGTGGCCGTGAGACACCGGCTCGGGGTGGCACGCGCTGACCAGGATGGGCCCGGGAAGGGCTCCAGGCCCGGGAGGGGTGAGCTATAGGGCGGAGGGGATGCGAAAGCGCAGGATGAGGAGAGGCGGCCGTGGCGGACGAGAAAGGCAGGAGTAGTCTGAGCCTACGTGCGGCAACCTCCCTGCGGCACACCCTCCCGTCATCGGGTCCCCTCCTCCTTTTGGTCCACACTGGCATTCCTTGTTCACGGCGCGGAGCGCCCCAGTGAAAGAGGAGCGTCGAACGGGCGAGGCGAGGGCTCGTTCTCGGGAAGGAGCCAGCTTCCATCGTCCCGAGTCACTTATCTGGGCCATCGAAGTGCAGTGCCGGAATGTCCATGGCCGTGCCGACGACGACACCCACAGATGTCGCTGTCCTGCCGTGTGGCTGTTGCGCGCACCTGGGGGGTTTTCGGACTCCGAGCATGCGACCGGCGAGTCTCAAGCGGCAGCCCTGTGGCGATGCTTGCAGCAGCGCGCCGCGGCTCATATCAAGAAGGGTCCAGCGGGATCCCCGCTCCAGGAAGACAAAGGCCGCCCTCCATCAGCTCTGACGCTGAAGCTGTAAGACGAGCGTGCGCGGAGCGGAGCCTGCATGTCCCCCCAAACGTATTCGAGACCCTACCCGAAGACGTCGGACACCCTCAAGAGCGTGCGACATCCTCCTTCCTCCAGATCCGACTTCTGGCCCTCTTGCCTTCTCCCTCCCCTTCCCCCCTCCCTCCCTCCCCCCACCCTCATTCGATGAAACGCCGGGGGGGGGGCGCTTCTTCCCCGAATTCAAAATCGGCATGTCCTTTTCTCGTTGTGGGCGCCGATTTCGTTACGTTCTCAGGTCCAGTGTCGGCCCGTGGCCGGCCGGCTCGTTGTCTTTCCGTTCCCACTGCGATTCTACTGCGTTGTTGGGAATCACAATGCCGCCTGCCTGACGTCCACATTGCAAGGTGCCTTTTCGATAACGTCATGGTCGAGCCCAGAGCGGACAACGGCAAGCGGATCATGAACAAGAAACACACCCCAGCGTTTTAAAACAACCCCCCCACACCCCTCCTGCTGCTTCTCGTCCTACCCCTTTTTTCTGTTTCATTGTCCGCACCGCGGGAGGCCTGTCTGGGCCGCCCGCCCGCCCGGGCTGCGCGGCGCGGGTTCTGATCATCGCAGGCGGGCAGCCTGGTAGTGCCCGACCAGCGAAACGCCCCCTGCCCCACGGCTGGGAGCCTTTCGACGGGCCCTCATCGCGACGCTGAGGGAGGCCTCGCGTTGGCCTCCCTCTGTGCCTCTACTGCAAGCGCGCGTCAGTGCCGACTCGCCCCATGCGGAACCGCTGAGGGCACGCGCCGCCAACGCGCAAGCCAAGGGCCACGGACCTCGGAGGCGGCTAACGAACCGCTGTCGGCCACGGCCTCCCCATCCCACCTGGGCAGCAACCGAGCTCGGCCAGGCAGCACTCGGCCAAGCTGACCTCGGCCAGCCGAACCCGGCCAGGCTCAGCTCGGCCCCGGGGCCACATTCGGCTTGGCCGGGCTCAGCCTGGGCGAGGTCGGCCTGGCCGAAATTCGCCTGGCCGAATCTTTCCCTTGTCCTCATCTCCTGAACCCAGGAAGTCGGAAGGTGCCTTCAGCGCCCCGATCTCCGCCGCCTGGTGCCTCTGCTGGGCGGCCAGGCGCCGCAGGCCCGCCTCCAGCGCCAGCATGCGCTCGGGGGCGCTTCCCGCCGGGCCCTGCGTCAGTGACAGGGGAGCGGGGGAGGGAGAAGAGGGAATGATGTTGTTGGAGGTGATGGGGGGGGGGGGTAGTGATGATCGTGCTGATGGTGGTGATTGGGGCGAGGAGGAGGAGGAGAATGAGGGGGAGGAGACCGAAAGGCATCGGACGCCTCCTGTAGTCCGCCGAAATGTTCAACAGGTTCTCGAAGCTTGTGAAGGGCTCAAGAGAAAGAGACGTTGGAGACGGAGGATGATGAGGAGGAGGAGGAGCAGGAGGAGGAGGAGGAACAGTGCAAACCCAAGAGTCATCAACGATGTTGGAATGAATCCTCCCTCCAAGCTCACTCTTCATAGGCCCCTGCAAGGGTTCATTTCCACTCAGGCAACTGCCTCGTTGGAAGACAACCGTACGAAGACCCTGAACAATGCCAAAACACTATTCTCGGGACTGCGTCTTGACGACCCTGAATCGTGCCAGAACGCCATTCCTGGGACTTCAACACCGCGAACCAACGTAAGTGTTGCACCCTCAAATTCCTGAATATTTCCAAAACGCCATTCCTGGCACGCTAAACCGAAGACCACATGTTGAAAACCACCCGCCCTGAATCCGTGAAGCTCTTACAATTTGTTGACACGAATGTGCGCGGCGCTAAGGCGAGAGAAACATTTTGAAAACCGCCCGCCCTCAATATGTGAAGCTCTTGGAAATGTTAAAAACGAATGCGCGCGGCGCTAAGGCGAAAGCCTCATCTTGAAAACGACCCGCCCTCCATGTGTCAAGCTGGTGCCAATGTTTAAGCTTCAGGGTCATAAGTGGTAAAAAAAATCGCAGACGAGACGCCCAGCCCGCCTTGTCGACCTGCCTCTGGGTGCGACAGGGAAGAGTTATTCAACATATATTCAGAACGAAAAGGAATGGAGGAGGAGGAGGAAGAGGAGGAGGAGAAGGAGGAGGAAGAGGCCCACCCTGTCGGCGTGTGATAGGGGCTGTTCCGTCGCCATCGCCGTCGCTGCCGCCGTCGCGACGCCGCCGCCATCACGTCCCCTGCTTCCCCTGAGGCCGTCGCCGCTCACCCCCTTTCCATGGGCCCTCCACAGCAAAATTAAGCAACGTTGTCATGGAGTCGAAGGGAAGCCCCTTCCCTTTGATCCCTTCCCCGCGGAGGGGGGTACCCGGGGGGTGGTCCTGGGGGGGCCCCAAGGGGTGGTCCCGGGCCAGAATACCATCCTCCCGGAGCCCATGGCCCGCCCTCTCCCTTCCATTTCCGTCGAGGTCCGAGGCCTCCAGGGTCGGCGGCACCGGCCGTGAGGCCTGCTTAATACGGAGATAGCTGCTGACATACCACGCCCTCCTGTCTTCTCGAGCTGTCTGACGGCCTCCCAAAGAGACGTAAAGAGGCGCCGCGGTTTGGGAACTCCTCGCTCAGCCCATCTCCTCCTCCCTCTCCTCCTCCTTCTCCTCCTCCTCCTCCTCCTCCTCCTCCTCCTCATCCTCCTCCCCCTCGGGGCTGAGGAGGGAAGAGGCGAGGAGGACAAGGAAAAGAAAGTGCCTTGAGGTTTCCGCAAGGTGTCGGATTCCCCCAGAAGTTGTCCAAAGCCTTCGGGATATGCAGGAGGCTTGTAAGGCTTCGGGGCTTCGGGGCAGAGGACGAGGAGACGGAAACAAAGGAAAGGGAGAAAGACATGAGGATAAGGTCAGAGGAAGCGGCAGGATGAGCAGGACAAGGACGGCGGGACTGTGGGGTTACAACCACGCCTAGCACGCACAGACTCTAGTTAGATGCGGCGCTAAGGCGAGAACCACAATTTGAAAACGACCCGCCCTCAATCTGCGAAACCTGTGCAATGCTTTGTAGCGAATGCGCGCGGCTCTAGGGCGAGAGCAACATTTTGAAAACGGCCCGCCCTCAATCCGTGAACACCTTGAGTTCTTTAAAACGAATGCGCGCGGCGCTAAAGCGAGAGCCACATTTTTGAAGCGGCCCGCCCTCCATCTGCGAAGCTGCTGTCACTTTGAAGCACCAAGGCCATCGATGGAAAGGAAGTCTCTGGCGAAACGGCCGGCCCGCCTTTTCGACCAGCCTGGGGGCGCGACACGCAGGAGTTATTCGAGGGAGTTTCTGTGGAACTCACGTCATCCTGACCCCCGGCGCGCGAGAAAGTTGCCTCCCAGCGCGCCCTCAAGGACCACTTCCTGCGATGCGCCGGGCAAGCCGGACGCGCTGGGCGTGTCCCGATCGTGCGCCCTCGCTCGAGACATCCTCGCAAAATCGCCCCACGAGCCCCCAGCGCACCCCCAGGGAACATTTCCAGCGATGCGCGCGGCGCGCCGGGCGCACAAGGAGTGTTCCCATCCGGCGCCCTCGCTCGCGACATCCTCTCAAAATCGCTCCACGGGCCTCCATGGCACCCCCCCCAGGGATCATTTCCGGCGATGCGCCGGGCGATGCAGGCGTGTCCCGATCTGGCGCCCTGGCTAGAGACATCCCCCCATGCACAATCGCCCCACGGGCCCCCAGTGCACCCCCAGGGACCATTTCCGGCGATGCGCCGAGCGCGCCGGGCGCGCCAGGCGTCCCCATCTGGCGCCCTCGCTCGAGACGTCCTCGCAAACTCGCCCCTCGGGCCCCCAGCGCACCCCAGGGAGCATTTCCGGCGATGCGCCGAGCGCGACAGACGCACTGGGCGTACTGCCCCGATCCGGCGCCCTGGCTAGAGACATCCCCCCATGCACAATCGCCCCACGGGCCCCCAGCGCACCTCCGGGACCATTTCCGGCGACGCGCCGGGAGCGCCGGGCGCGCGGGCGTGTCCCGATCGTGCGACCTCGCTCGAGACATCCTCGCAAGTGCACGGGCCCCCAGCGCACCCCCAGGGACCATTTCCAACGATGCGCTGGGCTTGCCGGGCGCGCCGGGCGCACTGGGCGATGACGAGGACTAAAACGAGGACTAGCACGAGGGCGAGCGCGAGGAGGATAAGGAGAAGCAGGGAGGAAGACGCAGGAGGACGGAGGATGTAGGAGGGAGGCGGCAGGAGAGAGGAGAAGGATGAGGAGGCGGAGGAGGTTGAGGAGGAGGAGGAGGAGGAGGAAGAGGAGGAGAGAGCGAGAATGTGAAGGAGGAGGAGGAGGAGGACGGATGACCTCCAGGGACCTCCAGCTCGTGAGCCTCGAACTCCTGATCGTCGCCCTCCTGATCTTCACCCGCCGCACCACCGCCGCCCGCTCGTTCTCACCATCGTCGTCGAGCGCAGGCGCACGCCCCTTCTTCTTGTACAGAAGCTCCCGATGAACCGCAGAGCGGCCAGCTAGTCTATAAGGAGAAGGTGAAGCAGAAGGACGAGGGGACCAAGGAGGAAGCAAGACAGCACAGGACAAGGCACACGTTCCCACGGAGCGGCCAAGGATGTGAAGGAGCGGGAGAAGGATGGAGGATCAGGAGGAGGAGAAGGAGGAGGAGGAGGAGGAGGAGGAGGAGGAGCGAGAGCAGGCACGTGCAAGAGGGGGGGAGGTGGAAGGCGGCTGCCTGGGGCGACGGGGGGGAGGGCGACCCCCTGGCGGCGCCGCCCCCGAGCGCGCTGGAAGCTGCTGGCCCCCATGGGCGGGAGGGCGGCTCTGGCCGCGGGCGGCCACCAGATCGCCTCTTTTTGTTGGCGCGCGCGCTCGCTGTGGCGACGCGCCACGGCAGTGGGGACCGCCGACGGCCGTCCAGGCCCCCGAGGCCCCCTAGACCGGGACTCTGCTGACCAGGAAAAAACAAAAAGATTTGATGTCTGATGAAAGTGAAAGCTATGCGAATCTTATGAATGTTGGGGCCCTGGAAACCCCCTCCGGGGAGCGGGAACAAAATAGAGAACGCTTCGATCCACGGCGGCAGCTTGCTCGTGCGCGCCCAAAATGTCATGGTTTCTGCAAGAGTCCCCGTTTAGGGGGGCCCTGAGGATCGTCGGCGGACCCCCTGACGGGATGTCATCTCGCCGGCCTCCAGAGCGAGAGGCCCCTGCGGGGTCGAGAGGGCTCGAGGTGCCGCGCGGGCGGCGCCGCCCAGACCGGGCACCTCAGCTCGGGCCAGGCGCACGACCCCGAGGCGGCGGTACACCGAGCCACCTGCATGATGCAGGCGCCTTGGGCACCGCCAGCATACAATACACCAAAACCTGATCAGAGGTAGCTGCACGTAGCAGTTCTAGTCTTGTCCCTCCCTTCGGAGGCACGAGCGAAGAACGCAAGGGATCGAGACAGAGCCAAGGGGCGCCAAGGGATCAGAGGAAGCCACGGAGAAAGGAAAGCGAGAAGCCATGGGAAGCCAGGAAGAACCGAGGGAACCAACCGTGCAGGCCAGAGAGGAAGCCGAGAGATCAAATAACCCCAGCAGTTTGAAAATGCATCAACATACATGTTCGGAGGTCCGCCCACAGACTCTGGGCCGTCGCCATGCAGATCCCCCTTCCCGCCACATCTGGGCGGCGCCTCTGGAACAAACGAGGCCAGGACCGGAACAGCATCGCACCGGCACGAATCGGTGATCTCTGAGATCCAGCGCTACAGTGGAGGCCAGTCCACAAGAAGCATTCCACGAGATAGTTACCCAAACCTGAGACCCCAGGACGTCCATGGATCTTGGGTGTGGGAACGTCACGCTTTCCATCGCAAAACCCTCGAAGCCCAAGAAACCCAGGGCACCCTGGAGGCAAGCAGGGTGTTCCTTGGCATGGGCCCTACACTGCATCGGGCGCAGCGCCAGTTCCAGAGCGCTCCGGAACGCTCCGCGAGCGCTCGGGAACGGCGTGGCGCGATGCAGATCCTGGTCCCGGGCCCGCCCGACTGGAGCACTCCGTGCGCCGGGCGCGGCGCGGGGAAGGGGGGTCCAGCGCCGAGCCAAGGACTCCGCGCGGACCTCCCGGGCGAAAGCATGCGCTCGTGCGGATTTTCGCTGCTCTGCTGGGGGGCCTCCTCCCAGACCCCCGACGTCATGATTTTTTCATGACGTTGACCCCCCGAGGTCTCGACCCATTCCCTGGGACCGTTTTTTCGTCCTGAGTCGTTTTTTGACGGTCCCGAGGGCCGGTAAGGGCCCCCAAAGGCCAAAAAGGATGAAAAACCTCCCGTCGTGATTTCTTCATAACTCGAGGGGGTCTGGGCTGGGGGGGGGGGAGGAGCGCGAGGAGATCGGCAGGCGGCGGCCACGACCCTCGTCGGCCGACGGCGGGCGCCCCGGCAGCCAGCAGCGCGCGCGCTCCTCACCAGGCCTCGGGTACGTCGGCGCAGCGGCCCGCCGCCGCGCGCCGCCCGGCCCCCAGGGCGCGGCCGGCCCGCTCGCTGCACTCCGCCAGCCGCAGCACGGCCTGGAGCACGAAGTAGCAGGCGATGCCGGCGAAGAGCCCGGCGGAGATGGAGTACACCATGGGCGTGACGCAGATCGCCGAGGCAGGAAGGGCCGGCTTGGACACAAGCTGTCGCCTGCCCGCGCGGGATTCTTGGAGCTGCGCTGGACCCCCCTCCCCCCGGCCCCCATGGCACGTGGAGCGCGCCGGGGGCGGCGCCGGGGGGTCCAGCGCAGGTCCAAGACATCCGCGCGGACCGTCGAAAGGTTGTGTATACACCGCTTTTTCCTTCTTCGCAGATGGTGAGGAAGGCTGGCAGCGCCAACTTCAGGTCTCCGAAATCGATGTCCCTCACGGGCCCCATCATCATGGCGCCGACTATGATCAGGCAGGGCGCGGAGGCCTCGGGAGGGATGAGCTCGATGATGGGCACCAGCGGCGGCGACGCCAGGAAGAGCAGCCCGGTCACCACCGCGCACAGGCCGGTGCGGCCACCCTCCTTGCAGGCCTCCCAAACGGAGTCGGAGTGGGTGGGATCGGAGGATCGAGGCGCATCGCCGATGCATCGGCGCCGTCAGCGTCGAGAAAATCGGGCTTCGCACCGCTCCGCATTGCATATGCATCGGCGATGCGCATCGATCCTCCGACTCCATCTTCTCGGACCCCATTTGGGAGGCCTGAACTCCTGCACCCCGGCGGCACTCTCGTTGTGGATGATGACCGGGCTGGTGCCCAGGAAGGCGCCCACGGTGGTGGCCATCGCGCTGCCCACGTAAGCGAACTTGGCCCCCGGCAGTGCGCCGGTCTGGTCCAGGAGCCCGGCCTGCTGGCCGATGCCATACTGCACGCCCGCGGTGTCGAAGAGCACCACGAAGAGCATGCAGAGCACAGCCGACCAGAAGGCCTGGGGCTCCCGCAAGGCAGCCTCGAAGTCCAGCCTCGGCAGCGAGCTCTCGGGCGGCGGGAGCGCGCCGCCCGCGGCTGCTGCACCAACGGGGCTCGCAGCTCGCACGTCGCCCGCGAGGGAGTTCGGCAGCCCGAGCAGGTTCCATGCCGCGGCGGTGAAGCAGACACCTATCAGCAGTGCGCCCTTTGTCCTGCGGATGATGAGCGCAGCCACGAGGATCGTCGCCGTAGCCGTGAGCCAGAGACGAGGTTGCGAGACGTCGCCGAGTTCGACCAGGGTGACGTCGTTCTGCACGACGAGGCCCATGATCTGGAACCCGACAAAGGCCTGGAACACGCCGATCGCCACAGTGATGGCGGACTTCATGCTGGGGGGCAATATCTCCTGCATCCTGTCTGTCGCGCCTGTCGCGCTCAGCGCGGCAAACAGCAGGCCCTGGGTGGCGCAGGCAGCCAAGGCCGCCTCGGACCCGAGGCCCAGCTTGCCTATCACGCTGTAGCGCACGTAAGAGTTCAGCCCCATGCCGGCGGCGAGCCCGAACGGTAGGTTGGCCGTGAGGCCCACAAAGATGCAGGCCAGGGCCGCGGAGAGGCAGGTGGCGTGGCAGGCGGTGTGGAAGCCGATGGGCGAGCCGCCGTGCTCCGATGCGGCACTGAGGATCGTGGGGTTCACGACCACGATGTAGCTCATGGTGACCCACGTGACGATGCCGGCCCGCACCTCCCGCGCCACGGTGCTGCCGCGACGCTCCACGTGGAAGATGCTGTCCAGGTAGCGCGGCAGGTTGCTCAGGGGGTCCTGCTGCACGGTTTCCCCCGGGGCCGTAGGCGACCCGAGAAGGAGGAGAAGGAAAAGATGGAGGAGGAGGAGGAGGAGGTGGAAGAGGGGTAGAGGGAGGAGGAAATGGAGGAGGAGGAGGAGGAGGAGGAGGAGGAGGGAGGAGGAGGAGGAAGAGGAGGAGGAGGAGGAAGAGGAGGAGGAGGACGGGTCGCCTAAGCCTTTCGGAGAAACCCCACAGGTCCTGCCCGGCGTCTGCCGCCTCCGCTGCCCCCACGGACAGGGGGCCGTCGAGGGCCTTCCGGGGGGCCGAGACCAGCGGCTCCTCCAGGCCTCCGTCCAGCAGGACCATCTGGTCGACCTCCGCCCCTCCGCCGGCGGGGCGCCCGCCAAGCTCGAGCCCCAGTCGGCATCGGGCACGCGGCTCGTCGTCAGTCTCGTCGGCATCCTCATCGCCGTGCTTGTCGTCGCCCTCGTCGACGCCCGCGTGGCGTTGTCGCCCTCAGCCGCAGTGCTGGTTGTTTGGGGCGGCCCTGGTGCCCCCCGAGAGCTTCCAGCGAGGCGCCGCCCGACGGTGGGGTCGAGACGGAGCCCCGGGAGCAGGTGCAGGGAGGAGGGAGCCACGGAGGAGCAAGGGGGGTCAGCATGAAGGAGACGGGTCCTGGCAAAGAGGGGTCCTGGATGGCTTCGCCGCTATATCGGGCCCCTGGGACCTCCACGGGCCTGGAGACCGTCAAAAGACGACTCGGGAAAGGAATTGGAGCCCTGGGTTCTAGAACCCCGATCCTTCATGGCGGAGGAGGAAGGAGAGGAAGCGGACGAGGAGGACAAATATAAGAATATAACAGGAGGAACAGAGGACCAGAGAGAAACGCAAATGATGACACGAGGGGGAAAAGGATACGGGAAACGGAATGGGATTGAGAAGAGACGCTTGGGGGAGGGAGGAGGCTGGCCCATCGCTCCGAATCATTTCTCCTGAAGGGCTTCTGGAGCAGCCGACCCTCATCGGAAGCCTCCAAAACCGACGGTCAACACGAGACACGGATGCTACGAGAAGGCCGAGAAGACGGAGGGAGAGAATGAGGTCCCGCAGTTCCCAACATCTGCTCAAGTTCGGTCTCTGGGTCCGCCATCTCAATGACATTCGAAATGCGCCCAGCCGTGGCCACGAGGCTCTCCCAGGAGGCCCCCAAAGGCGAAACACTTTGAAAGCCGCCGTCGTGAGGCGCAGGAGTATCGCGGAACCCTCCGGATGTTCCTGCAACAGTCCCCGGGGGCCTCCGACAGCCTCCGCGGACACATGAGGCGACATACACCGGACTGCTTCATAAAGAAGCAAGCACTGAAGGATCCGCCGTGCTCTTGAACGCTTCGCCAAATAACGTTGGGACAAAGTCAAATGTTTCACATTCGCGGCATCACACTTCAGAGTCAGATAGATCTTTGGCAGGAAGACGACCACGATGGGGTGTGGAAACATACTGATGAGGGGGAACTGGAGACATGCTTCTTGGGAGTATCAGCGCATCGCGCTAGGCTCTCATTGCAGAACAGCGCAATGCGCGCTATGACAGAACAACGCCTTGCGGTAACAGCTGCAAGTGCCCCGGTGCACTACGGACAAGAGGCAACTGAAGAGTCGATGCGGCATGAGCACATGCAGCGCCGTGCGCACAATGGCGCCCCATCCCGCTGCGATCTGCGATCAAACAGCGAAGGGAAATCGCATGGTGGCCCCCGTGAGACATCCCTCCGCTGGACCTCCCAGGAGCCCACGAAAGTGGCAACAATTTCGCAGATCGCAGCCCCCCTGGGGACGGCGAGGTCTCGTGGTGATCTGCGCGGAAGGTACCTCGGCTGGGCCTCCCAGGAGCCCACGAAAGTGGCAACAGTTTCGCACATCGCAGCCCCCCAGGGGGCGGCGAGGTCTCGCGATAATCTGCGTGGGACGTACCTCCGCTGTCCTCCCAGGAGCCCACGAAAGTGGTGACAATTTCGCAGCCCCCCAGGGGGCGGCGAGGTATCGTGGTGATCTGCGTCGGACATACCTCCGATGGCCCTCCCATGGGCCCACGAAAGTCGTGGTGATCTGCGTCGGACATACCTCCGATGGCCCTCCCATGAGCCCACGAAGGTGGCGACATTTTCGCACATCGCAGCCCCCCAGGAGGGCGACGAGGTCTCCTGGTGATCTGCGTGGGACGTACCTCCGGAGGCCCTCCCAGAAGCCCATGAAACAGGCGACAGTTTCGCAGACCGCAGTCCTCTACGGGACGGCGAGGTCTCGTGGAGATCTGCGTGGGACGTACCTCCTCTGGCCCTCCCAGAAGACCACGATAGTGGCGACAGTTTTGCAAAGCGCCAAACCCCAGGGGACGGCGAGGTCTCGTGGTGATCTGCGTGGGACGTACCTCCGATGGCCCTCCCATGAGCTCACGAAAGTGGCAAGGGTTCCGCACATCGCAGCCTCCAAGGGGATGGCGAGGTCTCGTGGTGGTCTGCGTGGAAAGTACCTCCGCTGGCCCTCCCAGAGCCCACGGAAGGGGCGACAATTTCGCAGAGCGCAGCACCCCAGGGGACGGCGAGGTCTCGTGGTGTCCTGCGTGCGACGTACCTCCGCTGGCCCTCCCAGAAGCCCACGAAAGTGGCGATGGTTTCGCAGAGCGGAACCCCCCAGGGCAAGGCGATGCCTCGTGGTGATCTGCGTGGGACGTACCTCCGCTGGCCCCCCCTCGAAGCCCACGAAAGAGGCGACATGTTCGCATAGCGCAGCCCCCCAGGGGACGGCGAGGTCTCGAGGTGATCTGCGTGGGACGTACCTCCGCTGGCCCTCCCAGAAGCACACGAAAGTGGCGACAGTTTCGCAGAGCGCAGCCCCCCAGGGGACGGCGAGGTCTCGAGGTGATCTGCGTGGGACGTACCTCCGCTGGCCCTCCCAGCAGCCCACGAAAGAGGCGACAGTTTCGCAGAGCGCAGCCCCCCAGGGGACGGCGAGGTCTCGTGGTGATCTGCGTGGGACGTACCTCCGCTGGCCCTCCCAGAAGCCCACGAAAGTGGCAACGGTTTCGCAGATCCCAGCCCCCCAGGGGACGGCGAGGTCTCGAGGTGGTCTGCGTGGGACGTACCTCCGCTGGCCCTCCCAGCAGCCCACGAAAGAGGCGACAGTTTCGCAGAGCGCATCCCCCCAGGGGACGGCGAGGTCTCGAGGTGGTCTGCGTGGGACGTACCTCCGCTGGCCCTTCCAGAAGCCAACGAAAGTGGCGACAGTTTCGCAGAGCGCAGCACCCCAGGGGACGGCGATGTCTCGTGGTGATCTGCGTGGGACGTACCTCCGCTGACCCTCCCAGCAGACCACGAAAGTGGCAACAGTTTCGCAGAGCGCACCCCCCCAGGGGACGGCGAGGCCTCGAGGTGATCTGCGTGGGACGTACCTCCGCTGGCCCTCCCAGCAGCCCACGAAAGAGGCGACAGTTTCGCATAGCGCAGCCCTCCAGGGGACGCAGACGCTTACGAACGTGACGACAGTGTGCAGACCGCGGGCACGAGTGAGGAGGCAGAAGGCAGGCGGGAGGAAGAGGAGGGAGAAGGGGGCAGGCGGGAGGAGGGGGAGGAGGAGGAGGAGGAGAAGGAGGAGGAGGAAAAGGAGGAGGGGACCGCAGTGCTCCACTCAAAACGAGTGCCCAGCACAGGAGGGTTGGAAAAAATCGCAAAGACGTCCAAGCCCTTCGGTCCTCGAGGCTGGCGGGCGAGGACCCACATGTCCGGCCTCCAGATGCTTCCGAGACATGGGGCTGCCAGGCATCTGATGAGGAAGTCGTCCTCCTCCTCCGCCTCCTCCTCCTCCTCCTCCTCCTCCGCCTCCTCCTCCTCCTCCCCCCTCCAGGTTCGGGAAGATTGTCGCGCCTCGCACGTCGCAGCCTGGGCTGCAGCGGTATAAAGATAAACACATTCGAGGAGTCCGCGCGGATTTCGCGGATCGGCGCTGGACTCCCTGGCAGCGCCTTCGGCGCCGCCGCTGGCGCGCTCCGCGCACCAGGGAGGGGGATCCAGCGCAGATCCAAGAAATCCGCGCGGACAGTCGAAAGTTTGTGTTCGTGCGGGTTCTCTTCTTCGGCCCTAGACCCTTTCTCTTCGGGCCGCGTGTTGATCTGCAGTCGTTTTTCGATGGCCATGCAAGGGCTCGAAACCAGCCTCCAGAGGCACAGACTGACAAAGAACTAGCCGATCACATTTTAGCAAGCGATGCCGCGAGCGAACATGTCCATGCCCCTGCTGTCTGGGGACCGAGGCGCAATCCCGTGGACACGCGAGTCCTGTTCATACGCGTCCTCGCGGGGCGTCCGCGCAAAGTCGTGGATGTAGATAGGCTCCCAACCTCTGGCGACGTGCTTTCTTTTATCCCACAGCCCCATGAGCTCTCGATCATCCCTGGATCGAAAGCAGCGTGGCAGACTGGCATCCTCACTACATGTACGAAACAGCAGGAACGATGTAAGTAGCATGGGATGCAAGATCGGATGTGAGATGAGAAGATACGAATTCCCTTTCATATAGGACGCATGGTTCCATGAGTCAACGCAAGGCAGCGAAGGAGCGTGCGTCGCGTCCCCCCAGATGACTCCCCCGGACGCCTCCCGTTAAGTTCCTGGGGGTGCAAGCTCTCGCCCAGGATGTAGCTTCGATGGCCCGGGGGGCCCGGCAACGGCTGCCAGAGACCGAAACATGGTATCCACACTTATATCTAGGTATCCATAAGATGTGCTCAATTGGTTTTGACCACGTCGCCAGAGATCTTGTGGGCATTTACGCCCGGGAGGACGAGCAGGACTGGTCGCGCTAGCTCTGGAGAGGCCCGTGGGACAAGGATTCTGAAGGGTACGGGTCCTGGACCCCAGGGCTCTCCACAAAGACTGGCTTACCATGCTGAGCCGCTTCGGAGTGTCCTGGGGCGGGTAAGTAATTAGGCGGCGCCCACAGCGCGAGAGGCCTTCTAACACAGCAGGTGGCCAGCCTCCCCCAAAAAAGCCTCCATCGAAGCCTGCGGGCCCTTCGGAGAGGGCCCCTGCCGTCTACCAGCAGGCCCCCCCCCCCCCCCGTCCCGCCGCCCCTTTTGCCCGCGCCAGCAACCTCCTCCTCCTCCTCCCTCCTCCCTCCTCCCTCCTCCCTCCTCCTCCTCCTCCTCCTCCTCCTCCTCCTCCTCCTCCTCCTCCTCCTCCTCCTCCTCCTCCTCTCCTCCTCCTCCTTCCCCAGCCAGCCGATGTCCGAATTCTTGCAAAACGGGGACCCCAGAACTCCCGACCCGTTCCCCGGGCGCGGCTTTTCACCCCGAGATGCACGGCCCTGGGGCCCGGCGAGGGCCCCCCGAGGCCGAAAGCGGACACGCGCCGTCGGCCGCTGGGCCCGAGAACGTCCGGGGAGCCCGAGGGGTGCCCGAAAACGGCGAGCGGCCAGAAGGCCGATTTGCCCCAGATCGGGCGTTGGTAGAACTGGGTTTAGTAGTGATCTGCACCAGGGGCGCCCCCCCGTCCCATGTCCACTGACCGGAACTGCCGCCACCCGAAAAAACACCAGCTATGGCAAACCTGGTTTAGTGATCCTGGCCAATTCGGAGGCTCCGGGGCCCTACCACTAACCGGGTCCCCTTCCCCGGGGTCCTGGCCATACCCGACCAGAGGGGCCCGCTTCCTCCACGGCCGTCCTGGCGCGGCCCGCCGGCCGACCCAGGCCTCCTGGGCCTGGCAGGCGCCGGCGGCGGTGCGCATGCCGCCCGCGCGCGCGCCCCCCGCGTCGCGGGGGGGTCCTGCCGGCGCCCGGGCGGCTGCGGCTGGCGGCGTGCACGCCGGGGCCTCCTCCTCTGAGCGCGCTCCTCCTCCGCCGCCGCCTCCTCCTCCTGTTCCTCCTCCTCCTCCTGCTCCGCCTCCTCCTCCGCGGCCGCCTCCTCCGCGTCCTCCTCCTCCTCCTCTGCATCGAGGGAGGCTTCTCAGGAAGAGGAGGTGTCTCTAAGAAGCCGTCTGATCTGCCAGAAGCGCCCCCATGCCTTCTCAGAGGGCCGCCCCACTCGCGCCGCCCACATGCGCGCGCCGCCACATCGAGGTCCCCGCTCCCTCACCCTCGGGGATCGAGGCTCCTGGTTGCTTCTCGCTTCTCTGCTGTAGCGAACTGCTTAGCAGTCAACCAAATATGCCTGCTTGGAGCTTCTCGAAGATGACAAAACTGTTTGCGTCCAGAGTCTCCCCGATCAAGCAGCTATGTTCACCTCCTGGAAGCGTTCACGGTGGACTCATGCGTGGTGGTGGGCTTTCTTGACGAGGCCTTTCAATTGACTCCTGGATGTCTCTCTGGAGACCTTCGCGCTGATCCGTTTCTGCTTCTACATTGTTAGCAGGAGAGTGCAAGCGACTGAGCAGCTGATTCCCCTCCCCGTCTGCCAGTGTCAACGCAGTCTCCCAGACGTCCCTGGAGGAGGCTACCCTTCTAGGATTCGGATCTCGATCGGTGGGGATACGTGAGGCTTGGGAACTGCCGTGCCTGCTGCGCAAATAATTTGCGCGTCCTTTTCAAGTTGTGGCGCTCGCCTGCGACCCACACACCAATGATAAACAACGTCGGGGTTTTCCAAATCAAGCGCTTGCGTTAGAGCCGCTCACACTATTTTTTTTCAGGCTTCCAACATCTACTCGGGTGAAGGGCGGCCCCGTTTCAAAGTGTGGTCCTCGCTCATGACCTCCTGACATGTATTAGCACATGTATACGCTGGTGCAACAACTACACGGCTGGAAGGCGGCTCCTTTCCGAGTGGAAGGCCGCTTCAGGACTCCCACCTGGAGCATCTTAGCCAGAGCTTGCAAAAGCTACCCGCATAGCGGCTGGCTGTGGTTGTATTGGACAAGCGCTGGACGTTCGTCGATGTAAGGCAGGGCCTGTTTCAAAACAGGGGCTCTCGCCTGTATGGCAGGTCCGTGGGCCTTCGCCTATCAAGGGGAGGACCTCCCGCTGTGAGAAGGACCCACTGCATGGCCTTACGATGCGGGACCTTGCGACGAGAGGGTGTGTTGCAGAATCGCTGATACACCCTGGGGTCCTCTGGTTTCCTCATCCTCATCCTCCTGCTCCTCCTCCCGCACCCCTCGCTTACCCTCGACCCCACCCACTCCACCTCCTCCCGCCGTCCTCCCTCCCCTTCTAACCTTTCAGGTTCCTCAGCCTCCACCTCCTCCCTGACGTCTCCACTTCCACTTCCTCATCTCGCCATCCGCTCTCGCCTTTCCCGCCCGTCCACCCCACCATTCCCTGCTCCTCCCCTCCCCTCACCCTGCGCCCCGCCCTCCCCCCCCCCCGGCCCTGCCTCTTCCCCAGACCCCCCCCGTGCCGTCCCCGTTCCGCCCCACCCCCTCCCGTTTGACTCCCCTCTCCAGGGCGGCAGGGAAGCGGACGCAGAGCATGAGCAGGGACCGACCGTCCCGGCATTCCTATAATCCTACCACGAAATGTTCGGAGAACCCAAAAATGCTCTAAGAACCAAAAGAATCTTCTTAGAACACAAGCCCGATGTGTTAAGACAAGACAGTCCCAGCCAGAAATGTTCTAAGAACATTTCGTGGAAGCCACAAAAGGTTCTTAGAACATTGTTTGGTAGGGCTATAGGCGAGCCAGGACGCTTCGCCACTGCTTGAAGAGCCCACGACCCTTTTCGCTCGTCCGCCCCGGCCAGCCCGACGGCAGCGGGGGCGGCCAGCGCCCTGCGCCCTGCATTGAGGGCGGTCGCGGGCCCCCGCAGCCCCCAGCGTGCGGGCGCGGGGGGCGAGGCGCGCGGAGGGCCCCCCGCGCGGGCCCGCATGGTTCGTTAGCTCTCCTGCTGGCCGACCAGAAGGGGCCCATCGGGAGGGTGCGCCTCCGACTCCTCCGCCTCCGCCTCCTCCTCCTCCGCGTCCGCCTCCGCCTCCGCCTCCGCCTCCGCCTCCGCATCCTCCTCCTCCTCCTCCTCCTCCTCCTCCTCCTCCACCTCATCCTCCTCCTCCTCCGCCTCCACCTCCTCCGCCTCCGCCTCCGCCTCCGCCTCCTCCTTCTCTCGGCGGCGAGCGAGGGGGGAAAGTGAGAAGGAGGAGGCCTTCTCAGAAGGCGGCGGGGCGTCTCAGAAGCCCTCGGGCCTTCAGAGAGAAATGTTTATGCATTTTCGGAGAAAGCTTAAACAACTTCTCAGAAGGCTGGATGACTCTCTAGCCTTCTGGAAAGGCCCGCCCCCTCTCATTTCCCCCCGGGCTGGCCGCCGATCCTCTGAACGGCCTCTGGTGGGCCTGGGGGTGTTCAGGATGTCGTTTTCCTGGGAGTTCCACCCTTCTCCCATGCTTCGCCTTTGCCGCCGCCCGCTGAGGTCGCAGGTGTCATGCAGGTGGGCGCTCGTGTACTGGAGCGCATTTCTGCTGTGCGAATCTCCTCCGATCCCTTAACGTTTGACACCGCGGGCAGGCCTACCAGAGGGTGAATGCCCTTGCTCCCTCCTCCCCCTCCTACTCTTTCATCTCCTCATCCTCCACGATATTAGCCCATTTCCTCCACCTCCCCCTCCTCTCCCCCTGCGTCCCCTCCTCCTCCTCCTCCGCTCCTCCTCCTCCTCCACCTTCTTCTCCTCCTCCTCACTCCCAGGGAGGCGAGGGGGATGCCTCTTCCACCCCCCGTGCGACTCGAAATAATATCGTGCCGCAGTGTGGTTGTGATACGCTTCAGTCTCCGAAGACCTTCCCCGCAGTTTCAGACCCAGAGACCAGGCGGCTCGATGTTTTCGCGACGTGGGCCAGCTTCCACCCAAGGTCGTTGAAATGACGCCCCGATAACCGAAGTCGTAGGGCGAACCACTGGCGGTGTCGATACTGTCCGAAACTGGTCCGGGGCGGTCCAAAATTCTTCCCCTGACCTGTAAGTGGCTGTGCTTTGACTCGGAGTTCAAAGCGCAGTCACCCGACCGTGTGGACGCGGAGCCCCCGGGGCCAGAGAAAGGGCGAAAACCGAATGAGCACCTAAAACGACGGCCCAAAAATCTCGAGGCCTCCTTCCCCTCCACATCAATGCAACCCACAAGAGAACTCGGAGACCCAGTCTTGGATCAGCGCATGGAAGTGGAAGTGACACGTTCCTCCCACTTGAATGCACGCTCCGCGAGAAAAGGAGCTTCGCGATCCGCTTTCCTGCCACTTCTTCGACGCGTTTCCACAGTAAATTTTGCTGGGCAATCCCAGATCGCCGACATCCCATTTGCTTCGCTATGTGGACCCCAAGAGGTTTCGACCTCTTCACCATGACCGGCGTATCATCATGAGTCATGTTGACGGCCCTGGAGCCAGGAAGCAGCCCCCAGAAGACGCTGAAAAACCGGGCGTCGCAAGAAAACAGCCAAGAAGAGGGCGATAGTGTTGTCATGATACGATTGGCTCAGGGGAGTTCCTGGGAATTCTGCAATACACCCGCCCTCGTCTCTGGAGCCCGTGCGTAACAACCAGGAAGATCTGGAAGCTCCGGAATCCATCTGCACCTAGAAGCAACAATAATTGCATAGAATCATGTATTCTCGGAGGCCCGCGCGGATTTCTTGGATCGGCGCGGAATCCCCCCTTCCCTGACGCGTGGAACTGAAGGGGCCCTGGGACACACAAATAAATACACACAAATCGAAATATTCCCTATAGTTTCCCATATTTTCTGTGCTTTTGTCTTCCCCCCACTTCCCAAATTTTCGCATATTTTCGGGGGAATCGAAGATTCATTGTGTCTGTGTGTTTTTTTCCCTCCTGAGGAACGCGCCTGGGGCGTCGCCGCATGCACCGCCAAACGGGAGCCCAACGCCGCTTCGAGACATCCGCACGGAACTCCGCAGCTGGTGTGTCCTGCCGCAGTCCCGTGGTGCCTTCCGCGAGTGCCATGACTTCCTGGTACTCCAGATTTCGTAAGAAAGGGATGGGGGTCTCATTTCGGAGGGGGGTCTCTTCCAGGCTATCTTGGAGGGCCTGGGGGGTCTGGGGACGATGTTTTGGAGGGTTCTCCCACGGGGGAGGTCTGAAATGGCTTGTCTTGGAGGGTCCAGACCCCCTCCCTTGTATTACGAAATCTGGAGTATCCTGCGGGGTTGAACCACGAAGAAGCAGTTCTCTTTCGACTCTGGTGGGTTGGCTTGCATGGAGGGAGGGGGGAGGAGGGGGGACCTGGCGATGCCCGAAAGGAGTCTGGAATTCACGCAAGTCGGGCCTCCTAGAGAGAGAGAGAGAGAGAGAGAGAGGGGAGGGCAATGCCATGCAAGTAAACTTGCCTGAGTCTGAAACACAACGCCCTCCCACTATCGGGAGCGGCCAAGAGGGGGGTGTCCAAGAGGGGGGGTGCAAATCACGACCGGCGGCATGTGCGCGGCCCAGCGGGGGGGGGGGGGCAGGGACGTAACGAAAGAAGAAGAGGCGCCATGAAATCTGGGGAAGCATCATGCCCCCCGCCATGACATCCCCCCCCCTAGTCACCACCCCCCCCTCGTTGCCGCCCCCTCCCACGAGAGCAACCCGCCGGGAAGACACATGGAGGGGAGGCCCCCCCTCCCCTGGCCCCTCGGTCGGCCCGCTCTCCGTCCGGCGCAGGGCGCCGCCGTCTCCCTGGCGGAGAGGGGGGGGGGGGCGGGGAAAGGCGGCAGGGGTGACTACCTACAAGACCACCCTAACCCAACCCGAAGACCCGAATTTGACCCGAATTTCGGGTTGGGGGGGGGGGTACGGACCCCATGTGTTTTCTCAACGTTCCCCGACCCCCCCCCACTGGAAATGGAGGGCAAATTGAGGCCTTCGGGTTGGGTTGGGGTGGTTTGGTGGGTGGTGAGGGCAGCGGAGGCGCGGCTTGGCCGCGCCCTCCGGCCGCCTTGGCCCTGGAGCGCTCTGGAGCGGCCGGAGCGCTCTCAGAGCGTTCCGGAGCGCTCTCAGAGCGTTCCGGAACGCCCTGGAGCGGCCGCGGCGCCCAATACATCGTCCAAACCCGCCGATTCTGAGAGATTTCGAGTCATCCCGATCCGATTTTGCCCCGATCTTCGCGTCGTTTTCAGGGCAGCGGAGGCGCGGCTTGGCCGCGCCCTCCGGCCACCCCTGGCCCTGGAAGCGAGGCGGCGCGGGGGGCGAGTCGGCGAAGGCAGCCGCGGGGGGGCCCCGAGATCCGGGCGGAGGGCACGTCTCTGTCGCATGTCCGGGCGTGCTCGCCCGGCGTGGGGCCCAAGGGCCCATCCGGCGCTCGAAGGATGCCACAGAATAGGAAGGCACCGGCTATACACCAACACCGATCCTGGCCAGGATCACCGTGGGCCCAGGATCGGTGTATACGCCCTCCTGCCTTGGGCAAGAAGGCATATACACCGATCATGGGCCCAGGGCGATCCTGGGCCAGGATCGGTGTTGGTGTATAGTTGGTGCCCTCCGACAGAAGGATCGGGCCCAGGGCTCCAGTCGCGATCTCGCGCGACGTCGCAAGCGTTTCGCGCAACGTCGGGTCTCAAGTCATTATGAAACGGCTTCGGCGAGGGAAAGGGGACCAGACGTCTGGGGCAGCAAAAACAACAAGGCGGCCAGTGTGTCGCAGTGGTTGCCTTCTCCGGGGGGCCCATTGCGGGCCTCGGGGCTGCCAAACAACGGCTCGTGATGGAAACAATGCACCGGTGAAGGGGTCAAGATGTCCAGGGACGCGCGCATCGAAACATATGAGAGCCAGGGATGTCTGCGGAGGGAGGCCGAGAGAGAGGAGAGAGAGAGAGAGAGAGAGACAGAGAGACAGAGAGACAGAGAGACAGAAAGGAAGGGAGAGAGATGAAGGGAGGAAGGAGCAGTGAAGGAGGGAGCAAGGGAGGGGGCAGTGGCCTGAAGGTTTGACAACATCAGGCCAGAGTCCAGCCTGTTTAAACATACGGCGCCCAAGTCCAAGGCTTTTCGCAAGGAGAAGATGTAGCCTTGCGGAAATCGGAGGCTGTAGCAGGTGGGGCAAGACGTTCGGGTTGCCCGTTTGATTTGCCATGGGCCCTTGAGGTCAACTTTCAGGAGGACCCCTTCTAAATAGCTGCGGCCACGATTGGGCGCTACGCGCAGGAATGCTGGCACAGTGCGATCACCGCACTGCGAGAGGACCACTCCATGCTGACGAAACCCCTCTTGGTACGTCGCCTATCGTCCACGGCTCGGGAAGCCCGAGTCTGCTCTTATTCCACTCCCGGTCAGATGTTGGCATTGCAGAACGAGGGACGGCCGCAGAGTGATGCCACGCCAGCAGTGATCGCCAATGTGTTCGTCCAGCGGCCGCCTGGCCTGAAGCACATTCGGACGTGTTGGCGAGGAGACGTGTCGCATTATGCTTCGAAGGTCGAGCCCGAGGGTTCCTCGATCTATACCATAATTTGGAAGGCATTGCACAATACGGACCTCCTTTCCACATGAGCACAACCACTTCTTCAAACAAGGTTCTCCCTGTGTCAAAACAGGTTCTTCAAACAGGTTCTACAACCACTTGTTCAAACATATTCTTCAACGGGGCAAAGTCAAGACGCTGGGGCTACGACGTCCCAGACCGGGGCCTGTGTTACCACATACCCAAAATCACTTCCAACTGAATCTCAAACAGACATCTCAAAATGCCCCGTACGACCGGGCCAAAAGAAGTGCTCGCTGGAGTCCTCACGTAGTGGAGGACGCCCAGGAGCCTGCCCCGTCTCCCCCCTCCTTGGGCAGCCTGCTCCCCCTCGTGAAGACGTTGCCCACGACTCGGATGTCAGGCTCATTCACGCAAGTCGTGAGACTAAGTTGTCCTTCCGATGCTGTTGGTAGCAAACTTCCGTTCCACTGCAACCAACTCGGCACGACCTCGGGGCGCCGACAAAACGCAATTGCATGTGATTCAAAACACGCTTGAACATTACCTGAGACACGGGGCCCGCGTTTTGGGACTTCCGCGAATCACCACGGAAACTTGCACGCGGAAACAAAACTTCCATGGAGAAGGGGGAGGACGAGGACGAGGACGAGGAGGAGGGGGAGGACACCACAAGCGCGGCAGGGGTGGCCGCGACTCGGTGGCCGAAGCTGGGCCGCAAGCAGGTGGCCGGGCAAGCATCCGATGTGCTGTCTCGTCCGCGAGACCGATAGCCAGGCTGCCGGGAGGCGCGCAAGTAAAAGAGAGTAGGGAGAGGAGGGAGGAGCCGAGTTCGCTCAGGGAGCGCGCACACAAGCCGCAGACGCGGTGTTGATCACAGGTGGGAGCTACAATGGGCCTCCCAATCACCAATTCTGAGCTAGTCCGTATCAGCGTGTCGGCGGCAGAGCCCGATGCGTACGCAAAGGTGGGCTGGTGCAGGCGGTCGACTCGCCGTTTCCGCACGCACGGCTTCCCGCAGAAGCCAGGCGACGCGGAGCACGCGGCAATTTCACTTGCCACCTTCCGCTCCCCGAATCCCTCCACCAAATCTCACTCGCTATTGTTGCCGTGCGTCGGCCCTGACTGCTTCCTGGCCTGCGCTGCCCCTTGGCAGAAAAGAGCCCGCAGTCCAGATATGGACGCGCTGCCCGGAAGCTGGACTCTTCCCCCTGGGCTGCGAAAGGGCAAGACACATTGAGGTCCAGATTCGCCTGCCAATGACGTCGACCGAACTCGCGTTGTGGGGATTCCCCTCGCTGACCACTCTGCTGGACTGGGCTCGGGAACGCAGGGGCTGCCGTTTTTTGGTCCGCAGCGCCAGCGGTCGCTGATGCGTTCGATTGTCCGCGGGGCGCACCACACTACTGGCACACGACTGCAGGTGGGAAAGATGAGGGAAGCCGCGGAGTTATGTCGGGCGTGTCCCCCTACAGAAGGATTTTCGACGAAACATTGAATTATCCCAGTGCGACCCTACCTAGGAGTTGGAACCCCTAGGAAAGCAGCATTAGTAGTAACAGTAACGCTAAGCTAAAGCTAAGCTAAAGCTAAGCTAAAGCTAAGCTAAAGCTAAGCTAAAGCTAAGCTAGAGCTAAGCCACAGCTAAGCTAAAGTTAAGCTAAAGCTAAGCTAAAGCTAAGCTAAAGCTAATATAAAGCTAAGCTAAAGCTGAGCAACAGCTAAGCTAACGCTAAGCTACATCTAAGCTAAAGCTAAGCTAAAGCTAAGCTAAAGCTAAGCAACAGCTAAGCTCAAGCTAAGCTCAAGCTAAGCTCAAGCTAAGCTAAAGCTAAGCTAAAGCTAAGCTAAACGCTAAGCGAAAAGCTAAGCGAAACGCTAAGCGAAACGCTAAGCTAAAGCTAAGCTACTAAGCTAAGCTAAAGCTAAGCTAAAGCTAAAGCTAAAGCTAAAGCTAAAGCTAAAGCTAAAGCTCCCAGGGGACTGGGGGGAACCGCTCCCAGGGGACTGCGGGAACCGCCCGGGGCGTGTTACACTACCCGGCCCCTTTAAGCTAAGAGAGTAAGAACCCTTCTAGGCAGAGCCTAGGTAGGGAAAAATACAGAAAGAAAAAAACCCAAAGAGGTCAAAAAATACTCAAAAAAAGCATCCCCTGACTATTTTTGGACTATGTTTCTACAAGTTTGGGGTATTTTACTTTTTTTGTCGAAAATCCCCCCTGTAGGCAGACACGCCCGACATAACCGCAGAGGAGGAGAACGGGGGGAGGTCTCGGCCGCACAGATTCTGCGTCGTGAGGCGCGCGCAGGCGGCGTCAGGCACTGGGGACCCGTGTGCTCCCAGGTCGTGCGGCGCAGTGCACTCAGCCGAGGGAGGGGCAGCGCCGGCGACCATCGCGAGACAGGCCGCCATCGAATGGCCGGCTGGCAACATGCCGTCGCCGGCCAGGACCCTCCATGGTGTAGTCGTCGAGGAAGCTGGCCAGCATGAAGTGGCCGAGTTTTGCTGGTGGGCGTCTGAGGGGCACCGCCAAGAGGGGCCACAGGGGCTACCACACAAGACGATCGAGGTCTGTAAGCAAGCGACCATTGAGTTTCACAATCTGGCAATTGGAGCTGCTGCTAGTCTTAGTAAGGACCTCTACGGGGATTCACATGGCAAGCTCTCTGGGCTAAGCGTTCTCCAGAGCGAAAGCCCATCATTATGAAACTGAGGCGGGAACGCCCACATAGAGGTCGTCGCAGAACATGCGCTGCCAAGTGCAGGTTCCCATGCAATGCCCTGGGCCCTCCTCCAAGAATCTGCGTGCAGTCTGGAGGGGTCCCAGGGCACATACTCCTGCCGCGAGAACTCGAGGCCCTGACCTGTACGGCGTAGCATGATCCCTCTATGACGGGCTGGCTACGCGGAGAGTAAGCTCGTGCGGGGATCTGGTCCGTGGTGTGGCTCGAAGGCCGCGGCCCAGCTTTCCCCCCCGCTGCCCCGCTCCCCCTCCCCCCTCCCCCCGCACGAGCCTCAGACCCAGAACCAAGAGCTTCTCTTTTCAGAAAGTGTAGACTGCACTAGTTCGATATGCTGGCAGGGGAAACGTCACCACAATGCTCCAGCAAAACACTTTGCCTGCACTGGTTCATGGATTTCCGGTAAGCCGGATTCCCTTCAGGATGTTGTGCAATGGGCTCGCCGCGACCGTTTGGCTGAACCGTTCGGAAACTCGGTTGTCGCTGTGAAGACTTGACAGGATGGGGCAGCGGACAGGGTAGGGACAGGGGGGGAGAAAGGGGGGGAGGATTAGCTAGGTGCGCCCGCGCCTCGTCAAACATCCTTCCCCTCCCTTCCATACCTTCCCATGACGCTGGTTTGTCAGTATTCGTGGACGCGTGTCAGAGCCGACCTGCAATCCCACAGGAAAACTACCTCGTGGCACGCGCATCAGAAACCAGGAAAGCTGCATGCACAGGAGGAGGACGAGGAGGTGGCGGGTGAGCAGGGGGATGAGCGGGAGGAAAAGAATGATGACAAACAACAACAGCAGCAGGAACTAAAGCGGAAAGGGCCGGGAAGAAAAGGAGGACCAGGGGAAGGCGAAAGAGGGACAAGAAGGGGGGGACAGCGAAGGAGGAAGACTCGGGGGGCAGCAAAATGGTCCTCGCTGGGGGGGGCGAGACGAACAGCAGCAGCGGGTAGGCGGATGAGAAATGATGGGAACCAGCATGACGCTGGACCCGGATCCGGAGAGGTGGCCCTCGCTTGGGCGACAGCGCCGTTGAACGACGGGAGCAAAGCGCTTATCAGAAAAGGACGCCCGCGCTGCAGCGGGGACACCACTTTGAAGCACTGAAAACAAACGGATTGTGACAAAAACACACTGCAAACCAACTTTTGAAGTTTTGTGTGGACAATGAGCACGCGGATGGGGGGGAACCAATTGTTTAACATCAGCGGGGGGGACTGGAGAAAACTTCGCAGACTGTGCGACTGTGGAGGATGAGGACGAGGAGGGGCAGGAGGAGGAAGAGGAGGAGGAGGAGGAGGAGGAGGAAGAGGAGGAGGAGGAGACAGAGGAGGAGGAGGAGGAGGAGGAGGAGGAGGAGGAGGAGGAAGAGGAGGAGGAGGAGGAGGTGGAGAAGGCTGTGCTCACAGGGGGCGGGGAAGGGAAGGGGTGGGAACGGGGAGGAGCAGATGGGGCACGGAGGGAGGCGTGACTGCGGAAATTGAGAAAGGGGGGGAGAAGAAAGAGGGGGGGAAAGGGAGGGGTAATTAGAGAAACGGGGGGGGAGGAAGGATGGGGGGGAGCGAAGGGAGGAAGGAGTAGGCGACACGGATGGAGGGCAGGGGGGGACGGTGGGAAGACGAAGGGGGGAGGGAAGCGGAGGGGGACGGAACAGGGGACGAAGGAGGGGGGAAGGAGTCCAGAAGGATGGAGAATGGGATGGGGATGGGGTGGGAAGGGGCTGGGGGGCGGAGAGCGACCCAGGCAAGGGGAGTTTGGGATTGGGTGTGGGGGGGAGGAGAAACAGAACAACCAGGAGGAAAAAGGCGACACGATGGCGATGAGGAGAGGCGGAAGACTAGAAGGGGAAGGAGGCGAAGCATGAGGAAGAGGACGGGAGAAAGAGGCAATCCACACGACGAAGGATCAAGCAAGAAGTCGAGCTTGTGTAGGAGAAGGTGAAACAGAAGCCGAGCACGTGTAGGAGAAGGCGAAACATAAGCAGCAGCAGAAGGAGCAGGGGAAAGACAAGGGGGAGACAGGAAAAGTGTGATTGTGTGTATGCGTTTATCTCTCTCTGTGTGTGTCCGTTCGTTCTGTCCGCCACCTAATAGAGGACGCCGTATCCTCTCACCTTCTCAACCCAACACGCGCGCCAAGGCAAACAATGCAGGCGGCGGTGGGCGAGGGGGAAGCGCGCGGGTGGGCACGGTCCGCTGTGCAGCCACCCGACACTAGAATACACGCCCCGCGCGCCACCCTTGAGAGCACCCACACCGCCAGGACCAGTCCCATCCCCGCACTGGTGGACCACGCCTTTGCACAAACACACACACACACGACGCGAGGCAACCACGGCGCTGCAGTCCCATCGCTGCATGTAGTTCGTGCTGTGTGCGCCCTTTCTCGGCGAGGGACTGTGTCAGTCGGTTCCGTCCGGGTAGCGCGATGGGGCGCACCTGCACCGCGCGACGGGTCACTTGGCTCGCGGTGGCACGTGGGAACGCGGGTGGGTGAGCGAGCGCGTTTGAGCCACACGTGTGTGCGTGCGTGTAAAAGCAGCAGGGGCAGAGAGGAGAAAGCGGAACGGTGACACGAAGGACAAGGCACAGGGAGGGGAGGGAGAGGACGACGAGAACGACTAATCGGGGCCGGGGCCAGTGCTCCTGGCACGGAACCGGCGGCTCCGGATGCCACGCAGCTACACATCACAGTGCAGCACAGCGCAGCGCGGCCGCGTGTGTGCGTGCACGTGGCACAACACAGCACACCACGAAACACCGCAGCACGACACAGCACAACAACGCACGTCACAGCACATTTACAGCACACGCAGCTTGGCGTGCGTGTGTGTGTGCGTGTGTGTGTGTGAGAGAGAGAGTGTGTGTGAGTGTGCGTATACGTGTGAGTATACGTGTGTGTGTATGTGTGTGTGTGCGTGTGCGTGTGCGTGTGTGTGTGCGTGTGCGTGTGCGTGTGCGTGTGCGTGTGCGTGTGCGTGTGCGTGTGCGTGTGCGTGTGCGCGTGCGCGTGTGCGCGTGCGTGTGCGTGTGCGTGTGCGTGTGCGTGTGCGTGTGCGTGTGCGTGTGCGTGTGCGTGCGTGTGCGTGTGCGTGTGCGTGTGCGTGTGCGTGTGCGTGTGCGTGTGCGTGTGCGTGTGCGTGTGCGTGTGCGTGTGCGTGCGTGTGCGTGTGCGTGTGCGTGCGGTGTGCGCGTGCGGGTGCGGGCGGGTGCGGGTGCGGGTGCGGGTGCGGGTGCGGGTGCGGGTGCGGGTGTGTGTGTGTGTGTGTGTGTGTGTGCGTGCGTGTGTGCGTGTGCGTGCGCGTGCGTGCGTGCGCGCCGCGCGCGTGTGTGTGTGGTGTGTGTGTGTGTGTGTGTGTGTGTGTGTGTGTGTGTGTGTGTGTGCGTGTGCGTGTGCGTGTGCGTGTGCGTGTGCGTGTGCGTGCTTGCGTGCGTGCGCGTGGGCGTGGGCGTGGGCGTGGGCGTGGGCGTGGGCGTGGGCGTGGGCGTGGGCGTGGGCGTGGGCGTGGGCGTGGGCGTGGGCGTGGGTGTGGGTGTGGGTGTGGGTGTGGGTGTGGGTGTGGGTGTGGGTGTGGGTGTGGGTGTGGGTGTGCGTGTGTGTGCGTGTGTGTGCGTGCGTGCGTGCGTGCGGGCGGGCGTTGGCGTGGGCGTGGGCGTGGGCGTGGGCGTGGGCGTGGGCGTGGGCGTGGGTGTGGGTGTGGGTGTGGGTGTGGGTGTGGGTGTGGGTGTGGGTGTGGGTGTGGGTGTGGGTGTGTGTGTGTGTGTGTTTGTGCGTGGTGGTGCGAGTGGGATGGGGCGGGAACCGAGAGCGGGAGGAGGAACACGCAAAGATATAAAAACGAAGAGAGAGCAACGGATGACTGAGCGGAAAAGGGGAGCAAGAGGAGAAGGAACCATGGCAGCATGACAGCGGGCAGGAGGAGAGGGAGCGGGGAGGAGTAGGACGAGGCGCTGGCGCATGCGGCATCTGGACAGAAAAGGGCGCGGGAACGCGGGGTGTGGGAGGGTACGGAGGGAGAGGAACAGAGAGGACGGATGGCAGAACGATGAGGAGAAGGGAAGAGGGGGCGACGAGGAGGATAAGGGTAATGACAAGGAAAAGGAGGCAGAAGGAGAGAAGGGGAAACGGAGTACAAGGGGATGGTGGGAGATGCCTGGCGGGATGTCAGTGCAGCGTCCCCCCACGCGGCGAGTGGTGCGGCGTTGCTGAGACTGTGCCGCCACCGCGGCCGATCTGGCTGCGTCCACCTTTGGGCACTGGGGCATCTCCTCCTCCTCCTCCTGCTCGTTCTCGGCCTCTTCCTCCTCCTCCTCCTCCTCCTCCTCCTCCTCCTCCACATCTGGCAGCTCATCGCCGCTTTTCGCCGAAGAGAAAAAAGGGTACATGAACATGCCAGCGCATGCGTCTCGAATCAGTTGAACCAATGGCCACCGAGTTCCTCAGGATTCCGAAGGTGGTCGCCCCTAGCGTCGAGCAAGAACTGATTGTCCTGGCGGACCTATCGTCCCGCCTAGAAATGTTCTTATAACTTCAAACGTTCCAATGGCATCGAGACATGTTCTCAGAACATGCTGTGCTTCAGGTGCCAACTGGTCTGTTTGGCGAGCGACGTGATGTTCGTAGATGGTGCAACCCAGACAAACGATCACGCCGGCAAGATCGCTCATGTAGCCCTCGATGGCTCCGGATCGCTCCCAAGAAGCCTACTAGAGGCTCGAAGATCGCGCCAAGACGTCTCCAAGTAGCCACGGAGGCTTCCAGAATGCTTCCGAGATGGCTCCAGGTAACCCTGGAGCCTCCCAAGGACGTTCCCGAGAGGCCCAAATCATTGATTTCCCATCGGGAAACGTACACATTTGGCCGATACGACTTTTCGGCCTTCACGACGAAGACAGTCCAAGAAGCCCCCAAGAAGGCCCCAACACGGCTCAAGAGGCTCCCAGCCGGCGCCCAAAACGTCCAAAGAAGGCGCCAAGACGGCCCCAGAGGCTACTAAGACGGTCCAAGAGGGCCCCAAGAGGGGCCCAAGACGGGAAGCCCGAACCAAAAACCCGAGCCTTCCGTCCCAAGAAGCTCCCTGGAGGCCCCAAGAGGCCCCCAAGAGGCCCCAGGAGACCCCGAAGAGGCCCCCAAGAGGCCCCAAGGGGCCCCCAAGAGGCCCAACAGATGCCCCAAGAGACACCAAAACGGCCCCCTTCTCCACCTCCTCCTCCTCTTCATCCTTTTCAATTCTCTGCCTGGCATGGGGACGGAAAGCGCGCGTGCTGCCTGCAAGTGGACGCGAAACTGCAGCCTCAGTGTCTTGGACACCTGCTCGTGCTGAGGCCGTGGTTCGACAGGCCAAAATCATTGCACTTCGCCTCGCCTGGCGCCTTCTTTGCCGCATCTTAGGCGCTCCGGAGTTTCACCTGGCCCGTCTTCACCCGACGAATGGTCCAAGCATGAGCCACGAGACAGAGGCTCGCAGAGGTAGAGTCCCGGAAATTTACCGTCGCAGAGCATGAAGCTGCCCGCGTTCCCGCACGCACTGAGGGCGGAACGGATCGTGCAGCTGGCGGGCCATGACCTGGGAGGTCCAGAGCGGCCCAAAGCCAGCGGAACGCGGACAGCACAAAGGGGCCCCCCCCCCAGCGCAGTTGCGCGCGCGAGCAGAGCACAGCGCAGGGCGGAGTGGGTGGGCAATGAGACAGCGTTGCAACCCTCACACGTGGCAACGAGAGCACGGGCAGGGCACAGAGTGGGGACGAGAGCACCAGCGACACGCAACGGCACCATCCGAACAAGGGGGTGGCCAGCGCTGAGGCGTCTGAACGGTAGCCGGCGCCAGGGCGAGAATGAGACCCTCCTTTTGGCACTGCACCAGGCACGCGCCCAGACCCACGCCGAGCGGCCACGCGCGGCTGACACGCACGAGAGCGCGCCAATCAACCAACCAACCAGCCAGGACGAGGGAGGAGGAGGACGCGGCGTGGCATCCCCACGCCGACTACCACCGGCCGCACCGCAGCCCAAGGCGCGGAACACAGGAAACACCCGACAGAGACCAACAGGGCGCCAGGGAGGCCAGCGGAGACCCACGGGGGCCCCCCCCAATCCGCAGCCCCGCTTTGGGAGCGCCCACGGGCGTGACAGCAAGAAGGCCAGAAGGCAAAAAGGCAACAAGTGGCAAAAACAACATCCCCGCTCCTCAAATTTCCCTGCCCCCCAAATTGCTGCCCAATCTAGGGGCGACGGAAATTTACCGTCGCAGAGCATGAAGCTGCCCGCGTTCCCGCACGCACTGAGGGCGGAACGGATCGTGCAGCTGGCGGGCCATGACCTGGGAGGTCCAGAGCGGCCCAGTGCACCCAGGCAGGGACAGGCAGCTGCGCGAAGCGACTGCGAATATTTTTGAGCCCAGTGCAAGCAGGAGCTTTTCACTCGCCAGCTTCCGACGAGTCAGAGTGGTCAACCAGAAACTCTGCAGCCGCTATGGCTCCTCTGGCGCGAGCAGAAGCGTAAGCAAAGGCAGTCAATCCGCGCCAGCCTCCCGAGTAAAACAAAGCAGTCGGGCCACCTGCCTGCAGGCACTCTGTAGCCCAGCCCCGCCGAAAAGCGTGGGTGCCCCAGGACGCGGCGTTGGCAAAGCCGCACGCGCCGGCGGCAATTTTCAGCATCCCCAAGCTTTCAGCATAAGTAATGCCTGCGAAAATGTTGGGCACCTGGACGTCGCCACGCAGCCGGACCACAACGCAAACACCACAAAGGGCACGACCCTGCAGTTTGCAGATGCAGGTTCGCGTGACCTCCACCGGTTCCGAGTAACACTTCCTCTGCATGAAAGTGATGCAAACGTGACGGCGCCCGTCTGCGGCAACGCCGACGCGAACGGGGGCACGCTCGTTTCCGATCTGGAGAACCTCGCCGTAGCGCAAGCAGAAATGCCTGGCGACAACCCAGGAATCCCCCAGCAATGGAAAACCGAAACTGACGCACCACATTGCGAGGGCTCTTGTCTCTTCAGCCGAAGCCCGCACCCGCAGCCTCCGTTGAGCTCGCCCTGCTTTTTCCGCGCCTCGGACAACTCGAGCCGTGTCTGCCAATGGCCCGATTGGGCATCTCAGCCACGACAGCACTGTGCGGAGATGGGACAAGTACCGGCTCAACGACGACGAGCTGCGAAATAAACCAACAAAGCAATCCAGCGCTACCTGCGTGGGAGGCCACGGAGGGTTCCCGCAAGCACGCGCTGCCTGCCCGTAGAGGCGAACCGCGGACGCGTAGCCAGGAGCACTGGTTTTCCAACCGCAGAATTCCAGCCAAACTGCGTGCTCAGCGAGCGCCGTTGGCGCTAAGTTGGCCTGCAAAAGCTCTGTGCGTGGCTTCTTTGTCGGGGGCACGCACAGCCCACAATCATGCTTCGCCAGTGCAAGAATCGCTTTTGCGAGGGGCTCTGGCTCGGGAATCTGCCCAGAAGCACGCGCCAGGGCACATAACCGAAGCGCTGCCTCAGCTGTCGCTCTGGTGTCCGGCGCTGGAGGCGGCGAACGTGGGCCCGCGCCTCCTTGGCGACCAGGAAGCAAGCTTGATGGAACACCTGCCCCACTAATACTCTGGGGCGCTGCCACTCGAGTTGCAGGGCTGCATACAGCAATCAGCGCACGAACGAACGTCTCGGACACGGTGGCCAAAGGTGCCCAAATAAGCACCGCTTCCTCCACAGTAATGCCACGGAAATCATCACTGCTCGAAACGCCTGCCTTCTGAAGCTTGCTGCACAGCGACGCCACGTCGACGTCGGCCCTGGAAACAGCAGCGGCTCGCTCCAGCAGCGTGGACAACCCTGCAAATGAACCCTCCGAGCCCGAAGGTGGGTCCGCTGCTGCAATTGACCTCCCAGCAGCGCTGGCCCGGCTCTGCTCAAGAAATTTGAGCATATTGGGCCAAGCTGCTACAGAATCGACGTGCGGCGACGATGACGCACAGGCAGCGCGACTACGCATGACCCACATCAAACTGAAAACCAAGCACGAGACGCGGACCGGACGCCCAAAACGAAAACCACAGAACCACGTTTCCAGGCCAGAGGAACGCGCCGCGAACACGGCACCCGGTTGGGATCCGCCCAAATCGGCACTGAAACGCGGCCAACGCCGAAACCATAACGCGGACCCAGCCATGCCAAAACCTGCGAACTGCCTTCGAGAAGCAACGCGCCAGAAGAGACGACTGAGGACGCAGATGAGCACATGCTTTTTCCATGGCGCTCATTTTCCAGGTCCACGGCCTCACTGCGGCCACGGCGCATCGCAGGGGGCAACCCATGCGACATGGCGGAAACCTGCGGCGCGCATCGCTTCCAGCGCTGCGGCCTTGCCTTCCGGCCTGGTCGGCGCGTCTGCCACGTTAAGGTGGCTGGGAACGAAAAAACTATAGAGAAGCACGCCAGCGCGGGCGATTCGAAGCCACAGGTCGCCTATCAGATCGTTCCAATCAGACTGCCTGGACGACCCTCGGATCAAAGTGCCGAGGGCCACGGTGTTGTCCACAAAAAGCAACACCTCGAGCTCACCCAAATTCTGGCTGAGAAGGAAATTGATCGCGCAAATTGCAGCGAGCAGTTCCCACGTGGCTACCTGATTCCTGCGGTGGTGTACCCAGTTCCGCGCTGGTTCGGGCACAGTGGCAGCCGACCACAGGCGCGCGCCGGGGAAGCAAAGGGCCCACGCCACATTGCCACTTCCCGTGGCGTCCGAGTACACAATGCAGCGGACGCGAGCTGCTGGCCTCGCGCAAAGCACAGTGCGGGACGGAACGCATTCAAGGAAGCGAAGCCACCACTGCAGCGCGCGAGTAACACGACCAGAAAGTTTGGAGCCGTGCTCCGACGCGTGCTTGAAAAGTGGAGCCAGGTGCACTCTGGCCGCGCGACCAAACACTGCTGACGACCCCCAGCTGAGTCGGCCGGCCAATTTCTTGGCTTCAGCTGGGGACATCGCGCCATGGCCCAGGATGGCACGAATTTGCGCACTCCACCGCGCGAGCTTTTCGGGGCCAATCGACATGCGCACCGCGGAGCAGCCCTGAACAATCTCGCAATCTACTCCCAAAATTTGCGCAGATGTGGCATTCGACACCCGCTTGGAAGCGCCCAGCTCCCACCCGAGCAGGCCTGCGACCACCTCGCACGCCACGTCGCTGGCGCCTGCAGGCGCGCCCAAGCGCGGCGCCCCCGCCCAAACCGGGTCGGCCCCAAAAAAGTCGCCCA